CCTGCTTGGAACCCTGCGTGGTCCAAGACTCATCAACACCATGGCTGTCGGGATGAAGCAGGACGACATTGTACAGCTCATGCTTGCGCACAGGGTAGGCGATAATATGGCGCGAAGGACCCAGCCAACGAGTCGCCAGCGGCTCGTCAATGAGCTTCTTCAATTCAGGATCCTGCTCCATAATGTGTCGGGGTAGCATGATGCGGTAGGCTGCGTCGCCGGTGGGAACTGCCTTAATATTCGAGTCTTCAAGTAGGTGGCTACGGATGGTGGACTTGATGCCATCTGCGCCGATTACCACGTCGCCGCGGACGATTTCGCCGTTGGCGAGAGTAACACTGGCTGGGCTGAACTGCACGTCTGTGACAAATGAGTTCTCGCGGAGCTCAACGTTGGGAAGGGCGATGGCCCTTTCGATGATAGCGTTGTGCAGGTCTGCGCGGTGAATAACGACTTGCTGGCCGAAGGTCTTGTTCACCGGCATTGTGGCGAGGAGGTTCCCGTTGTCCCATCGTCGGACTTGAATGTGCTCGAGAGCTACGTCTTGGGCGTGAATTAGGTCCGAGACACCCCACCCTGATACCGGTTAGAATTGTTGTTTTCGTCGTGAAATTCATACTTACGCTCGAATAAACGCATCATGTTTGGGGACACTTGAATACCAGCTCCCACTTCCATGATCTATCATGAGTGGTTAGCCTTTTGAGATACTATCACTTTCGATCTTCAATGCCACATACCTTGGGTGCAGCTTCAAGGACAGTGACACGGTGCCCTCGCAGACCTAATGTGAGGGCTGCCGCCATACCGCCGATGCCTGGTTCAATTGTTGTCAATACCATTCTCTCGAGCCAATTCAGCCTTTTCGTTCAGAAACCACATACCAGCACTACAGAACATCAGTTAACCAACCTCCAATAAACCATGGACAATGGAATACATACCCGACAACAATCACCTCTAGAGGCACATTTGCCATTGGGACCTCCATATTGAAACTTCACACTTTAATCGGGGGGTGTGAGTGATAGAAATAATGACTTCGAAACTAGCTTTTTGGCAGGTAAAGGCAGACCTTGAAGTACTTAAGAAATTACTTATTCAAGGGACTGCCGTTCCACCCGCTCGAGGTTCGGGAAAGAGAAAGATGAAATTGCCTGAAAGCCGAAGAGAAATATGTAATTTCTTATTATTCCTAGCTACCTTAGCGCCTCCACAGCTTACCCACCTCTTATCTACAGATCGGGGGAATTGGTATGGAGAAACATTTATAGCATATGGATATTCCCAAATGGCGGGGAGGTTCCTCCGGCTGTCCTAGCATTGCCTAAATACCGTTAATTGACAGCAGAAAGTCCTTATTGCATATGATATCTTCTTTTACATCATTGTGCAACAATAAGCACATACAACATACGGAGAAATCTTTACGTAGTGAAAGTCGCCTTTTTTGTTCGGGGTTGCCGTTCGGAAACAGGGGCCAATGGGGGAATTGCCACGCTAAACCGGCTGTTTAGGATCCCTTCATCTGCCGACAACGTCAGATCACACATCTCTGGCGGCAACCCCCATGAAACTGGGTTTCGTGACTTCGATCCTTGCGGCTTTTTTAGTTCATGATACATGTTGCATCTTGACACTCTTCACGGCAGATATTTGGATTCGGTATTGCCGATTAGATATTGCTTCTAATTGATCAGTTATCTTGCTGATTTCTTAAGTCTATTATTACACCGTAAAGCTCAGCCGAACCATCCGGGATCCAATCGTCGGTCCGGGAGAATGCTCACTCCACGCTGTGGGAGTAAATTGTAAATGCTGTCTGTGTACGCGCATTCTTTGGTGGTGATTTGTTAGCAAAATTGCTAGAACCACACTTTTGAGAGGCCAGACAGCTATATCTCTTTAAATTTACCTTAACGGAGTTACTCCGTAGATCGAGGTCTATTTCTAGAGCTCTAGAATATGCATACAATATAGAGTGCTACGCCCCTAACCTTGTGTACATGCAAGTATCCACCAAGGGACTTTTATATTAAGGCTGATGATCGGCTTTCTTTGGACACCTTATTTGCCGGGACTATGGTCTGACTTGAATGGGTAACTATGAGCTTGAAAAAAATAGCTACTTGCCTTAGTGTTGCAATTTCCTCGGCATTGTTGCCCCCTGTACATCGGGGGCTAGACCTCACCAACCGCCAATATGACACATGCCCCATTTCGCTCTGAAGAACCCGAATTCGTGGCCGTATCACAGCCAAACCCAAACATACCATTCCCCGTCTCAATCACGCCAACTCTTGAGCTGCGAGTGATAATCTAACACTTAATCGGAGTGCGCCCATATGTCTCATTGGGACCATTGCTGACATGAATGGGATAGGTCCCAAAGTCGGTTCACCGAAAACGAATTATCAGCAAAGAAAACTGTTGACCATACAACATCCTTGAATGTGTCTAAGACACTTGCCTTGGATCAAGGGCCTGTATACTTGAAGAATTTTGTCATGAGAAGCCCAAGGCTAAGATAGCCAGACATCAAAGAAGCAAAAGCTAAAGTAGAGCTAGAACTATGAAATCTAGTCCATATATATATTCTTATCTATATACTAATATCTCCTCGGCTATGCATACACCCACGTTGATAGAGGTGGTACATCCTCCCTCTATTCCATATATAAACGACCTCTCTAACATTCACAGAGCTATATGCTGATCGTTAGCCTACTCGGGACTATACTACGACACTATATTATGTGCGTGCTCAGGTGGTTGGTCGTACGAGTCTACTTCTATATTCCTATTCAACATGCAGAGGCTTGATCCATAGTCGTAATCTTATAGTCAAAAATCGACGACATTAATTATTTACACCAGTTGACCATTTATTCATGGTAAGGCAAGGAGAGATAGTTATGGCTCTTGTTGCAATAAGCTCATTACAATTGAGGTAGATATCGATAACGAAGTAAACTTAGCACAATATGTATGACAGAAGATCTCTGTTCTTGAGATATGCAATTTATCTAATGTTTCCTAGTTGGGTGAGTATATAATACAGCAGATGCCGCCAATGAACGCCAAAATATGCTTGCGTGAAGGAATTGCATTGCTGAAAATAGCCAGAGAAAGAAGAAAGAAAATGAGGCCGTAACCATGTCCACAAGCAAAAGAGAACGTGAGAAAGTGACACATAAGTCATGGGTCGTCGTAGGAAGCGTTGGGTGGATTGAAGTGGCTGCATGGACCGTATGAAATACATGTCCACCCATTAATGATATCAGGGAGGATATATGTATGTACAAGTAATGATTCTGTCGGTGGCGAGAGTTGGAGGATCAGGAGGAAGAGGTGAACATAAGTCGCAGCCGGCTGGGACCTTTCTTTTTCTCCTTGGGCCGTTTCTCGGTTTCGGCGACATAGGTGCCATGTTTAGATGGGGTGCGACTGGGGGCATAACTGGGAGCTCGACTATGAGCTTTGCTTGGTGCTCTGCTAGGCGCTTTGCTGGGGGCCTGCGATGGCGCCTTGGACCTGGATGAACTTCGTCCGAAGAATCCACTCGGTGCCTCCGAAGGAGCTCTTGATCTCCGTTCGTGTCGCTCTGACGGTGCATGTGTCGGGGCCCGGGTGCTGCGTGAACGGCGGGAGCGTCGGGACGAAGCGACCGAGGCGTCTTCCTCGAATTTGAAACGAGGGTCCCGTCGCGCGCGTGCAGTGGTAACATCGATGCCCGACATGGCCGCTGCGGTAGGTGTGATGAATTCGCCATCAACAGATGTTCCAACGCTGTGGGCTTGTTGGTCAGCGACGCCACGTCTCCACATCTCAACTGAACTGAGATCGTCTGTGTTGAACTCCATCATTTCTTCCATTTCCATTTCGGTTTCAGCGGGCTTTCCTTCTTCCCCAATGGCGCCGGCTTTGATTCTTTGGATGATCTTGTATCCTCCAAACATGACCACCGTCACGCCTAGACCGACACCGGCGGCGATGAGAAATTGAGGGCTGGAAAGAAGAGCGAAGACGGCTGGCGAGGCTGACTTGAGCGCGGTTAATGCTGCGGGCGCCATCTTGCGCCCCAGGTTACTGATCTCCGCTAGAGTTAAGGCGACGGCGGCCATGGCATCTGGGTTCTTCTGGAGGTGGGCGATAGTCGCGGTAGCACCATGTTGCACACAGTGTGCTTCTTCGAGAAGCCACTGTGCCCGGTTGACAAGACCATCAAGCTGTTGTTGATCGTTTTGGGGCTCTGGGGGGTTGTATCGAGATAAGGCTGCATGAGAGGCGTCCCCATATGCAAGATCCATGTCGATATGCGCATCAGATCTTGATCGAGCCGTTGATGGGCGAGGGGCGTCTCGGACCGCCACATCGTGATGGGTATGACGGCGGGCGATTGTTTGCGGGGGCTCGTAATGAGAGTCTCGCCGCGATACAAATGTTTGTCCATCATCGTAGTGGGATGAAGCACGATGACTGCGGCCGCTGTGATGTCTTGACCTGGTCCCATGACTTCGTCGAGATGGGGCTACCGATGGTGAGTCATCGATCTGATAGTTGGCGAGTCCTTGGAGTGCTTGTTGCTCAGCAATTTTTGCATTGCGTTCTGATTGGAAGGCCGACTTGCGCTCACGATAGGCATTTTTGGCATGGCTGAAAACACCGAATAGTTGCTTACTCTAATACTGGTCAGAATGCGGGGTTGGCTTTCCACTGGAAATCAAACTTACCGTGCTGACAACTTTGCCGGACTTGTCAATCACAGCGATCGTTTGACCAAAAGGCGCCATAGCAGATAGTAAGTCGTTGCGACGACCTTACCGATAATCAGTCATCAAATGGTCGAGATCGACGGTCGACAAGGAAGCGGTGTAGGGGTAGAAAAAAATTTGTTTTAAAAGAAATTTCCGGGGTATAGATCACAAGTGAAGTATGGAAGAACTAGGGGTATAAAAGAATAAGCAAGGCACAGCCTTGGAGAGTTCTCGTGACAGTTATTAAGGCAGTTGGGTTGTTAACCTCAGGCCTTGATCAGCGCAAAGGTCCGATCGGAGGTATCCCAACGAGGTTTTAAGACGTGAGAGAAGTGATGCGGACAGTATGGAGCAGGGAGGCTGGGGATCAAGCGCATCCACGTTGGGCAGAGCAACGAACAGCGGGCCAGGCTGCAGGAGCTATAGGGCAGAATGGTTGGGTGCCACTTTTGGAGGCAGACACGTATCAGACGCTCGGTAGGCTCAATGAGCTCATATCACATATCACACTCGAAAGCTGTTGGGCGCCAAAGCGATCCTTGCGGTATAGCTGCATGTGCCGGGACCCGGAAGAGAATTTCCAGGGAAATCATGATCACATTATTATATTTAGATGCGAGGGAAAAAAAGGAAAAGAGATAATCCCGACTTTTTGACATAGTGTGCTTTGACATTTCGATCAGCTGTTAAACGGAGTACTCCGTATGGAAGAAGTGCAAAGAGCGGTGACATTTGACATTTCATTGGCTGACGGGGTCACCGCCACTGTGGCTGGTGCCATACAGAGTCAGCCATCTCAGCCATCTGTGGCGGTGCTGAGGCTTTAACATGTGAGCATGGCTTGACAGTTTCGGAGACTTATTTCTTTTTTTCTCCAGGGATATACATTGTGTATCTACTTATTGGAGGTGTACTCCCAAAAATGAGGATTTAAAGAACAGAATAGCGCCATTGCTGTTGTATCACTTGATTCCGAGTTTTTCAAGGGTGTAAGATGCCCCTAGACACATTGATCACAGATGGCCACCTGCAGGCCAATTTTTTTGGTCCAAAACTGAAGGATGAAAGCCATCAGGGGTTGTACCCAGTAGGTCTCGGGCAGAGTCTAGTCCTACCTACATGTATCTTTCTCCCTTATCAATAATAAAGAGTGTGTAAGATTTCAAGATTGGAGTGCAGATCAACATCGGTGTGCACTTCATTGTCTTTTCCATATTGGATCGTTTTCATTGATACTCCAAACTCAACTTGAATCTATCCTGGATCTATTCTTAACCTACCCTATATCCATATATTATGGTCAGCCGTCGCCCCAGTACCCCCTTAGCACGGCTATTGTGGGAGCCAAGGTGCGTTTCATAGTTATGTATTCCAAGAATCTTTCGGCCTCAATGAATGAACATGCGACCGTGACATAGACAAGCCAAACCAAATTAATTTGAGAACTAATTGTTTTTCTGTATAGAAGGACTTGTTGCTGGAATCAAAGGGATGCTAGGGATGGTGAGTCAAATATTTTATCGATGGTGCAATATCTTGTTATTGTTTTTATTGCTTTTTTTTCCCCCGTGCCGCCTCGATGATTCATATTCCTTCATATTCCTTCACTTTGTTTTAAAACCATTGAAATTCTTCAACCTCAAAAAAATCAGAATGGAGTGAATTCGGGCGATTTCCAGTGTTCTGTTTGGTTGATTTGAAGCGGAGAGCATCCGAGAACACCAACATCACTTCACTCTCCACTACAAACTATTGCAAACCATTGAGCAGATTAGACTGATCATGGATTTAGTTGAATCAGAGAGTACCTCTGAGGAGGACCAGAAAACCTGGGAATTTGATTCTCATACTCAAGATGCCAGTGCTCTTCCAAATAGTGACTGCGGCATCGGCCACCGCGTGCTCGCCAGTCGCTCCGTTCTCGCTCTAGCCGTTGATGAACAGTGCGTTTTTGCTGGTCTGCAAGGAGGAGATATTGTTGTAAGTTAGCTTGGATTCTTTCAAAATGTCTACAGGGTTCTTCTACTGCCAAGGCTCGAGACTAACCATTTCATCAGGCGTGGTCCCTTGAAACCTATGATCTCGTGGTATCCGTCCACGCACACAAAGAGAGTGTGCTAGGCCTATATCTCTCTGAAGATGGAAATTTACTATTTTCAAGCGGAGGCGACTCTGTAGTCAATGTGAGTCATAGAAATGAAGAGCATCACGAAACTGGGATTAATGAAGCGGACAGGTGTGGTCCACGCGAACTTTTGAACGTCTCTACTCAATTTATTCACACCACGATGTGGGCGATATATTTACAGTAGTCTATTCATCGCATAACCAAACTATTTACTGTGGTGCGCAGAATACAAGTATACAGGTACTTGATCCATGTTTGCGCCCCTATTTAGCGACATTCTAACTCGAACAGTGGTGTGATCTCTCCGAGGAAGGGTCAACATTGAACCAAGCATCGTCCGCACATCCATCTAAGCGGACGCATCGCTTCTTTGATTCCCGGGGGCCGGACGGTACTCGCGCTCCAGGATCATCAGATGGTGCCCTCTCCGACGGTGGTCGTGTGTTGAGCTTCAAGCGCGATCATCATAAGCTCTTCGCGCATCATGGCTACGTCTACTCCATGCTTCTAGTCAAAGGCTTAGTCGAGACCGCTCCTTCCGAGGAGGTCCTTTTGACTGGTGCGGGCGATGGTGTGGTGAAGTTGTGGCGTCTGGGTCAGGATCCTGGCGCGGCTCCATCCCAGATTGCCAAGCTACAGAATGGAGATCCTGTGCTCACTGTTGCCGTTGAGGGATCGCTACTCTACTGTGGTCTGGCTGGCGGCGCCCTTAACATTTGGAATTTGGACTCTCAACAGCTCGTTAAGCGGATCACTAGGCATACCGGGGATCTGTGGGCTGTACACGTCATCCAGGGTGTCGCTATCTGTGGTGACTCCAGTGGAACGGTGAAGGTATGCTCTGATCTAGATTTTTGTCGCTTTCGAATCGGCTTCCGCTGACCACTGGTAGAAATTCAACTCCCGGTTCGAAGAGGTCGGTGGCTGGATTGCTCATGAGGGCACCATGCTCGCCTCAGCTGCCGGACGGTTCAAGGATCGCCAAATCTACGCCACTGGTGGAAATGACAACTCGGTAGGAATCTGGGATTTAACTGAATTCTTCATGACCCAGGAAGAGCTGCCTCCGATCAGCAACGGTACGTCCCATACACGCTATTCGTGTCGAAAACTCGCTAAATTTTACACAGACGAAATGGTCAACAGTCTTGCAAAGTTCGTCTCTTTCAAGACTATTTCCGCAAGTCCCAAATTCGCTGGCGAATGCAACCAGGGTGCTGCTTTCCTTCGGCGGCACTGCAACTATCTCGGTGCTAAGACCAAGCTTTTGACTACTGGCCAGGACACCAATCCCATTGTTTTTGCTAGATTTAACGCTACCTCACCTGACAAGGTGGACAAGACTATCCTCTTCTATGGCCACTATGATGTTGTGGGTGCAGAGACGAACCGACCCAAGTGGAGGACAGATCCCTATCAGCTTACTTCCATTAACGGGTTTTTGTATGGCCGTGGTGTCTCTGATAACAAGGGACCCATTCTGGCATCATTGTATGCCGCAGCTGATCTCGCCCGGACGAAGACCTTGCGGTGCAACGTCATTTTCCTCATCGAGGGCGAGGAAGAGTCCGGGTCTCAAGGTTTCCACGAAACGGTTCGCGAGCACAAGGCCCAGATAGGACCCGTGGACTGGGTTCTACTAGCCAACAGTTACTGGCTTGACGACTATAACCCGTGTTTAACTTATGGACTACGTGGTGTCGTGCACGCCAACTTGGTCGTCACAAGCGACCATCCTGATCTTCACAGTGGTATCGACGGCAGTACATTGCTGGATGAGCCAGTCAAAGATATTGCCATGCTTCTGTCCACAATCGTGGGACGTAAAGGCAAAATCAATCTCCCCGGCTTCCACGATGCTGTTAGACCTCTCACGGACGCCGAACAGAAGCGGTTCGAGGCCATTGCCGATGTACTACTTCTGCAGCACCCAGAGATCCCCGACAGCCAGGCGCTGATCAAGTCGCTGATGCATCGCTGGCGGGAACCCGCTTTGACCGTCCACTCGGTCGAAGTTCCTGGAACCAAAAGCGCAACGACCATCGCGCGCCGAGCCAAAGCAACCCTATCGATCCGTATCGTACCGGATCAGCACGCCGACGAAGTCGCAGCCAACCTCACCGCTTATGCGCAAGAGCAATTCGCGCTTCTCGACTCACAAAACGACCTCACAGTCGAAATCACCGGCAAATCCGACGCCTGGCTCGGAGACCCAGATAACGAAATCTTCGCTACGCTGTCAGAGGCGATCACCGCAGCGTGGACCCCAGCGCAAGAGGACCCGAAACGCCAATATCCGCCTATCCCGCAACCCACAAACACTCGCCCAGCGACCAAGCCCAAGCCCAGCGCAGGCCCAATCCCCGAACTCCGCCGCAAAGACTCCGACGACAGTCTGGCCTCACATGTTGAGCGGGTAATCACATCGACAACGACCTCATCGGCAGGCAAGGAAGCCGCACGCAAACGGTCTTCGCAAACAGCCGCCACAGTGCCAACGTCTTCCACCCTCACACAAGCCACACCGACGTCGACGGAGGAGTCAGTCGCATTGCCAATCCGGACCAAGACTGATCTGGATGTCAGCTCCCCCACGACCAATGGGCCAGCTGTTGTGTCTGGTGTAGCTAAAGTGAAACCAATGTTCATTCGTGAGGGCGGATCCATCCCGACGATCCGGTTCTTGGAAAAGGAGTTTTCGGCCCCGGCAGCTAACTTGCCTTGTGGACAGGCGAGTGACAACGCTCACTTGGATAACGAGCGCATGCGGGTGGAGAATTTGTATAAGAGCCGGGAGATTTTCCGGTATGTGTTTGCTAATTTGGTGGATAAGTCTTGAGCGCCTTATCTCTCTTTTTTTTGGGTCTCATTTTGTAAAAATATAACTCTGGCTTGCATTTGATGTGTCTCTTTTCCGGGGCTTCCTCTATATTGATAGTCCGTAGATTTAATCGGCTATAGTCTCCTAATTGACGTTTAACGCCATAAAGGGAAAGACAACCCCGAAGCGGATCATCCTACAACGTTTCCCCCTCCGCCACTCCATACTGTCATGCCCCAATCCGTGCCCCTGCATGGAGATCGTCTAGCCCTAGAAGCCGTTAAGCTGTATAGAGTTCATTCCCACTTCCCATGTACGACGTCGCCTAGGCACTGCTGTATTTCCAATTCGTAATTCCACTATCCGTGTCTCGTAGAAATCCCGCATCTCCACAGGAAGCTTCATGCTGTTTGGACATTTGTTGATTCTGGGTTTGATAGTACGGCAAGGGTTTACCCTGGAAGAAAGTCGGTTCTAGGCCGAATGGGGGCTTCCACGCATGATGCCGGCTTTGTTCAAGAAGGCACTAGTTAGAGCCCCAATCACCTGGTCCAATCCAGCCTTAGATCTAAAAAGAGGATCAGATGGATCAATTTTGTGCTCGATCGTGGCTAGATTTGGCTGTTATGGTTATTCTTGGCATAGGGATCGGGACTAGATGATTTTTTTTTTTTGTGTGCTGGCATGGAGATTACGGAGGCGATTTGATATATTTGATATATTTGATATATTTGATATTTGATATTTGATATTTAGAGCAAGTAAGAAACCTTTGAATATAAGAAGGTATTGACCCAGACCCATTTGTGTTTCCACTTTACCTTATATCCCGAAATGAATTGTCCCCCGTTTCAGAAACTTCTTTCCAGTTTGTCCAGCCTTTTTCAGATTCTAGTCAATATGGGGAGTATCCCTGATCAAATTTATCTGCTGGATCGAGATGAGGCCGAGACTAAACGGTATGTGTTTAATTGCAGTTCTTTTTGCTCTCTTGCATGAGAAAATCATTTCCCTGTCACATCAAAGCTTTAATATCTTAAATATTTCAATGAAATATCAAGATATTCAAGAATTCAAGATGTCTAATATCCCCAGATATCCCCAGATATCCCCATAACCCCAGATCTTCCCTGTCTGCAACCTTACCCTTGCAGAACCCGACAGTTCGGTAGCCCCATTTTCGGGTTTTGCTAATTATTTGATAGCCTCAATAACCAGCATCGCTTTCTCGTTGATCTATCCAACCTCATTCACCCATCTATTCCAAGAGATATAACATCTGTCGCCGATTTAGGCACTGGCACAGGGTACGTTTTTTTTTCTGGCAATTTTTGAAAAAAAAAAAAAAAAAAAAAAAAAAAAAAGATTGAGTCAAAAGTCCACTGTTACACAGAAGCTAATCCACCACAGCATCTGGCTTGAAGATGTCGCCGACCTGCTTCCCAACAAATCAGTCTACCTCCACGGCTTTGACATCTCATCCGCACAATACCCACGAGGCCACGAGATCCTACGACCTGGCCAAACTCCAATCCCACTAAGCGTCCACGACGCACTTCATCCATTCCCAGCAGAGCACTGTGGTCGATATGACCTCGTGCACATCCGACTCCTAACAGCAGGTCTAAAGCAAGGCGATTACGCACGAGTCCTTGCCAATGCGCGAGCATTACTAAGTATGTCCCTTATCAAAACAATATCTACAACATACTCTAAACATTAAACTCCCAACTAACAACCGCAGAACCGAACGGCTGGATCCAATGGGAAGAAGTTGACCACACGGCCTTCTGCACAGATGCAGTCCCAGAGCCATCAGCGATAACCCGGCTGCGGGAATCCGTGATCGAAGCGATGCTGAAACTAGGTCTATGGCCATTCGCTCCAAAGCGTGTGTACGAAGAGATCTCAGCGAACGGGTTCACCGACGTTGTCCGTGAGATTTACACTACTGAGGGGAGGGAGCATATGCGGCCTATCGCACAGAAATGGGTCGCTGGTGTGATGCGTGCACTGGTGCCACCTTCAATGGTTGTTACTGGTCAGGCTGAGGATGCCGACCAGGCACGTGTGATTGTTGAAGGGCTGGTGCGCGAGTTTGAGGCTCATTGTGAGTCTGCGACGGCGCTAGTTAACTTTGGGGTTACGGTTGGTCGGAGGGTGGATTAATATTTTGGTTCAGATTGGATTAGGGGTGTTTATTGGTTCTTCTTTTCACTGGGAGGTTCTTTTGAGAAAGAAATATCGCTTTTGCTGGTATTGAAGCACATACATGAAATGAACTATGTAGGTACAGCTGTCACAAATGAACGTTTGTACTGTAAACAACATTGATGGTCTGTAAGAATTGGCCTTGAAGGAATCATTCACTAATACTACGCCCTCGTTCAATACAAGTATCGTCTATATAAATCATAAACATCAGTGTTCATTCCCTACTATTGGTATGAACCGTAGATGAGCCCCAATTGCCCCACAAAACGGATCCGGGGAGGAAAATATTTTCAAGCCTTCACATCCAAAAAATTAAAATCCTCAAACTCCAGCAATGGTAGCATCGATGGAAGTCCAGGAAGCTCCGCCCAAAGGGCGAAGCAAAATCCAAATTACCGCAATTATGGTAGCGCTTGCAGTAAGACGCCAAATGAAAACCGCATATTCACCTACTAAATTCCACTAGTTAGCAATGTTTATCGCTGCGCTGGATCAAACGATCATGGCAACAGCGATCCCAACAATCGCCGCCTACTTCCACTCTTCTGCTGGGTATACGTGGATTGGTGGAGCGTACCTGCTCAGCTCCGCCGCCAGCGCATGCATCTGGGCCAAGCTTTCTGATATTTGGGGCCGGAAGCCTATCTTGCTCTTGGCTGTCGCATGGTTTTTCCTCAGCTCGATTCTTTGCGCTGCTGCTACTAGTATGGAGATGTTGATTGCGGGTCGAGCACTGCAGGGTGTTGCTGGTGGTGGTTTGCTCCAGCTGGTTACGATTATTATTTCTGATTTGTTCAGTGTCAGGTAAAAAACCTTGATTATCATGGCTACTTTTAGCTGTCTACGTTTGACATAGAGACTTTTACTGATTGTTGTAACAGACATCGCAGTCTATATCTCGGCCTGATGGAGGTCATGTGGGCCTTTGCTGGTGGTGTTGGACCGTTGCTCGGCGGTGCATTCAGCCAGTATGTCACTTGGAGATGGACTTACTGGATCAATCTTCCCATCTCTGGGGTGACATTTGTGCTCCTATTCTTTTTCTTGGATGTGCACAATCCCCAGACAAAGATCATGGATGGCGTCCGCGCCATCGACTGGTTCGGCAGTATCTCTGTTCTGGGCCTTACTCTCATGCTTCTATTGGGACTGGACTTTGGCGGCGAGACATTTGCCTGGAGCTCACCCCAGGTGATCTGCCTCATTGTCTTTGGATCTCTATGTTCCTTGCTGTTCGTCTACAGCGAGAAGAAACTAGCAAAGTATCCCTTGATGCCTATGGATATCTTCGCTCGTTCCTCTAACATCGCTACCTTGCTGGTAGCATTTGCGCATGGCTTTGTTAGTATCTATATTTCATGAGTTATTTTTAGCCCCTAACAAATTTCTAGGTCTTCATCGCTGGGGAATACTACATCCCCCTCTACCTACAATCCGTGCACGGCTCCTCGCCAATGGGCTCCGGTGTCCTCATTCTCCCACTTGTTGTGATGGAAGCATGCTCCGGCATGATTGCCGGCGCAATCATCCATCGCACAGGTCGATACCTCGAACTCGTCTGGATCGGCCTGGTACTAATGACCATCGGTAACGGGCTGTACATCAACCTCGGCGTCGGATCATCCGTCGGCGAGATCGTCGGGTACCAGATCATCAGCGGTTTAGGCGCCGGATTCCTCTTCCAAACACCCATCATCGCCATCCAGGCCATGGTCTCACAGGAGGACACTGCCACCGCCACGGCAACCATTGGCTTCATTCGCAACATGGCAACTGCGGCTTCCATTGTGATTGGCGGTGTTGTCTTCCAGAATAGTATGGGCCAAAGGCAGTCCAGCCTGTTGGCTTCCGGTATGTCGGCCAGCATGGCGGCTCAGATGTCTGGGGATTCGGCTGCTGCCAGTATTGAGTCGATTAAATTCATCACCGATCCGGCGCAGTTGCTTGCTGTTCGGGAGGCTTTCGCTTGGAGTTTGAGGAATATGTGGATTCTTTACACATGCATGTCTGCTGTTGGTGTCTTCTTCTCGGCTTTTATTCTCAAGGCTAAGCTGAATAAGGAGCATGTTGAGACTAAGACAGGACTGAATGTTGAGAAGACACCGGTCGTTGAGAATGTTAGCGTATAGATTCTTGACAATATATTTATCTGTTATGCGATGTTATCTATTCTTTATTTCTATAAATTTCATATGAAGCATACAAGAGGATGATTTGATACGTACATAGTCACATTACGGGACGCTAAATTAAGGTTAAAGATGCATAAAAGTATCAGGCGACCCACTGTTACATAGATTTAGACTCATCATATCTTGCTATGTCAGATTGTACAAAACTCAAGAGTCAAATCAAAGCAAGCAAAAGGATCAATATTATTCACATAAAAATATGCAAAGCATAACAATATATCCAAAACGGAGTCAAACAAACAAGAAGTTAATACAGACAAGCAAAGCGAGTGAACTGTTCATCACAAAGTATCAACGCTCCCTTATTGAGCCGAACACTTTCCTCCAACAATGCAGAGAACAGGCAGATCAGCAACACTATTACCAACCCAGATCTTAATACCCTGTCCATTAACAGGAGCCTTCCAATCCTGTACCACAACATCCCAAACACTAACATCCTTCCGAGTAAGATGCAGCGTAACCGTCTCACTCTGACCAGGCGCAAGCTCCTTTGTCTTCTCAAACTGTCGGAGCTGCAAGGCCGGCGTGTCAAGTGCCAGACTAGACGGAAGTTCAACATATAGTTGGGCGACAGCCTTGCCGATTCGTTTACCCGTATTCCGGACCTCCACCTGGACCGAAAATACAATCTCGAAGAGAGCGGGATTTCCGCCCTCGCCGCCTCCGGCCCGGGGGACTGCATGCGGCTCGGTGCTGTAGCCATCCGGGTAGGCGTATTTCTTCGTCGCACTGATAGACTGCGGCTTGTCCAGGTAGGGATAGAGGTAGCGCCAGATGCGGGTGAAGCTGGTAGAGGACCAGGCGACTTCAGATGGGTCCGGGATGCTGGTATTGTAGGAGGGGGTTGACGGCTTGGTGGGTCGTGCAGCTGGGTAGGCTGAGTCCAGCGGAGTTTCCGTTGACAGCGAAGGCTGGGAGAACTTGAAGGTGGTGTAGGAGAGACCGTGGCCGAATGGATACCGAGGTGTGATATTGGCCTTGATGAAGTGGCGGTAGTCGATGTATAGCCCCTCGGTATAGGTGTCCTGGATCTGGCCAAATGGTTGGTTGATCAAACCGACACTATCCGGGTAATCGTCTTCGCTGCGGGGAATGGTGTATGGCATGTGGCCACTTGGACTATAGTCACCAAAGAGGACATCGGTAAGGGAGTTTCCAGCTTCTTGTCCGGGGAGATGGGCCACAACCACTGCTTTCACGGACTTAAGCTCGACCCACTCTTCCATCAGAATGGGACCGACGGTGTGAACAATCACGACTACATTGGAAAACTTCTCTGCTGCTGCTTTGACGAGATCGTCACCATTGTGCCAAGCATTAAGTCCTGCTTTAGTTCGATCGCCTGGATTCCCTTCGACTGTAATAAAGTTTTCGCCTGAATCGGCACTGATGAAAACAAGAGCTATATCGTCTGCATTGGCGGTAACGTCCGAGGGGAATTTGTCCGTGATGTGGAACTCGGCATTCTTGGTGATACTAGAGATTGCCTCTTCGGGTGTGATAAGATAGGGTAGTCTGGCCGTGCCACTGCCCCAGCCCATGGTCAAGACGCCTTTGTTGCACCCTTGGTCGGCGCATGAGTTGAGACCGCCTGGATTTCCACCTGCATCTGTGCCAAATACCTTAAGAGAATCATCCTTGTGCAGAGGAAGAATGTCCATGTCGTTCTTTAGCAAAGTAATTGCTTCCCGTGCGACAGCTCTCGCAGTGATGTTGTGATTGCCCCTCACATCGACAAACTGGTTAACGACACCAGATGGAGAAAATAGAGCTCCGGGGTAAAGCGGGCCCTCCTTGTTCTGGGTGTTGGTCGAGAAGTTTGGTAAGGGATAGTCCTTATCCTGTCCGTGTTTATACCAAGTGGCAACGATACGTTGGGCCTAGACGCGTATATTAGACATGAGGGAAATTCCCACATAAAGAACCACGTACCATATCGTTAAGACGGTTTACCGGGACACTTCCATTCAGGACCGAACGCGACATCTCAGCACCCCAGTATGAATCTCCGAACAAGGGAACTGCTCCATCGCCAGGCATCGACATATCCAAACCAGCTATGGCGGACGCAACGCCAGAGTAATGACCCAGCCAATCCGTCATCACAAATCCTTGGAAGCCAAGCTCATCCTTGAGAATATCATTGAGCAATTTGCTGTTCTGAGAGCACGCAGAGCTATTGACCTATGAGATGTCAGCAACATACACTCAGAAATAGAATTGAAGAGACCCACATCGGAATAAGCTGTCATCAAAGATCCCACACCTGCACGAACACCCTCGGCAAAAGGCCAGAGGTACAGCTCATGCAATGTGCGATCGTCAATGTTTGACGAATAGCCCTGGGTAACAACACTGCTCATGCGGTGCATCTCCTGCTCATTACCAATGTAATGCTTGATGGCCGCAATAGCACCGGTGCTCTGCATGCCCTTCACAGTCTGGGCACCTCCATAGCCCTGGAGAATGGGATCAGCACCGAAGCCTTCCCAGTTCCTCCCACCGCGTGGCTTGCGTCCAAGTGCTCCCACGGATGGTCCCAGGAGCACATTGACACCCTTGCCGCGAGCCTCTTCGCCGAGCCCAACACCTCGTTCATACATAAGGTTTTTGTTGAAGGTTGCGCCAACGGTGATACCAGGCGGGAAGGCAGTGTTGTGGTCCGAGTTGCGGACTCCCAGAGGACTGTCTTGGAGGCACAGATTGGGCACACCCAGGCGAGGCACGCTTCCTGTTTGCCCTACACAGGGTCCCATGAAGAAGCCAGTGCCTGTCGTCAGGTTGACTTTCTCGGCCAGCGTCATATTACTGACGAGATGATGCGCTTTGGAGTAAGCTTCACTCCAGTCGGGAATCCAGCCTCCCGGAGGGGTGGGATAGTATGGAGGTGATCCATAGCCTTCTTCTGCTCTCTCGTGCAAGTGTGTAGTAGAGTCGAATTCGTCTGGCACTGGGGAAGCCAGGAGAAGCGGAGTCAAAAGAGAGACTAGAGCTAGATGAGCCCAAGGAGCCATGGTGACAGATTCGCAAAAGAAAAGTAGACAAGAAAAGATCGTATTTGGGCCAGTCAAGAGAACGAGTGCATTATTGCCCCCAGATTCGAACCTGCATTACAGACTCCTCGGGCCCCGGGGGACTATAAGATAACCGCGGACCCCGTGGATGGGGAACTAGTACTTTGCAGGAACAGGGAAGGAGCAACGCCCGCGTGCACATCTCGGAGAAATGCATATCATCGCTGGATTCGAGGAGGATCGTCATGAGATCCTATTGACACTGCACTTGGCAGCGCAGTGAACTTGAGGACTTGTCACAATTGTGCAAGGATCGACTCGTGATTACTCTACTAGTGAATTTGCTTGCATAGCCGAGAGTTGCCTGACATGAACCCATAATGATGATAGGCTGGGCCTATAGCATAAGTACCTACTACCTCCTAATTAGCCGGATTATCCTTGCCCTAAAGAGACATAGTGTCAGGGGGTTCGGTGGTTAAATGTGCAAGCCTAGAAACGCCCCCTTTTCTCGAGGCTCGGGCTCCGAGTTCATTCCGTAATTACTCCATACTCCATAGTTCATCGAGATATTACTGCAGATAGAGCACGCGACACCGTTAGATCGAAATTAAAGTGTTCAATTTCATCCATTGTTATACATGTCCACGTCTTTAGACCTTGGTATAGCGCAAGTAAGGCTTAACCTCGCGAACTTCACCAAACTTCTTCTGGGCATCCGGGGTACTGACGGTGGGAGGAACAATGACATCATCACCAACTTTCCAGTCGATCGGGGTAGCTACACCTTTCTTATCACCGGTCTGCAGGGAGTCGATGACCCGCAGGACCTCCGCGGAGTTTCGGCCCGTCGAGGCGGGGTACATCATGGTCAGGCGGATCTTCTTGCTCGGATCAATAATAAACACGGAGCGAATAGTGAATGCGATAGCCTCCTGCCCGATGCTATCCTGGTCGATCATGTCGTAAAGGAAGGCAACTTTGCGGTCGGCATCGGCGATGATTGGGAATTGGACTTGTGTCGAACCGACTTCGTTGATGTCCTTGATCCACTGGTCGTGGGAACCGAGCTCGTTGGCACTCTAGAGAGAGGGGGCGCGTCAGCTAGGGCCCTGTAGGCGTCGTAAATGGCGGGGACTCACCAATCCGATCATCTTGACTCCGCGTGCGTCGAACTCATTCTGCAGCCGGGCGAAGGCGCCTAATTCGGTTGTACACACCTAATTACATGTTAGTTCAGCATCTTCATAGAGCATATCGGTGAGAAATACGGGTGTGAAGTCGGCAGGGTGTGAAAAGAGGATGGTCCACTTATCACCGATGAACTCGTGGAAGTCGATCTCGCCCTGGGTGGTCAGTGCCTTGAAGTTGGGGGCTATCCTGTGTTAGTATGATATGGCAAATGCAATCCCGTTGAGACTGTACCAATTGAGCCCAGGCGCAGACGCGGCTGTTCCATCTGGGCCGAGAAGAAACGACGGAAAGCGGGCGCACGAGGTAGCTGCGCAGCCCAAGGGGCGCGTTGAGCAGCTCTGAGTGCACCGAACATCTGAGGGGCAATTCTGGAAGCCATGATTGTTAAGACTGAGAGATACTGCAACAGTTGACTCGGGACTTCACCCCTGTGGCCCCGAGGTCGGGACGTCATCAAATCTGACTAATCCACCTTGCCGGCCCGGGGTGCCCAGGCCCACCTGGGCAGATACTCATGAACGCTGTTGAATTTGTCTATTGAATTAAAGTATTACATTATCTTGATGCATATATGTCAGACAACAGGGATTGTATACATTTATGCCAAGAAAAATGTCATTCAGATCCAAATTTATACTTGATACTCCGTATACTGTAGATCTCGAGAAATAACATATCTGAGACATTCTAGAAACTTGACAGGCGTGGGTGAAGTAAATTATATGATTGGACCAATGAGCTTATCTGAAACCCTTAATATCGCAGCGGTACGGAGTATAGGGGTCAGGGTTCAAAACCCCTTTTTAGGGGGGTTGATGCCTGGGGTGCCTTGCTTTAGAACAGCAGAAAAATGAAGATACCTGAAATATTATTACATAACTATGGCTTAATGATCAAAGTACACTCATTCCACCCGCATTTTAAACTATCAAAAATGAAGCTTTTCACCTCCATATTCTGGGTGGTTTGTAAGTCCAAAAACATGGAGATACTACCATTTTTATAGAGATCAAAAGCTTCATTTTTGGACTTGTAGTATTAATCAATTTACCATACATCTAACTAGTTAACTAGTTATAGAGCGGTGTAGAGGGCGGTGCTAATTAAGGCATTCAGGCATAAAAGTTCCCCCCCAAAAATGGGTTTTGAACCCTGACCTACCGCTGCGTAGCCAAGGCCCCCAAGGAAATTTTTTTGAAAATCCAGTGCCTTTAATAGTCCTGTGAGATGAACAATTGTGCCTTTTTACTTCAAAAAAAAAATAGCTTAGCTTCGTTAGAGAACTGTATAATTTACATGTGTGAGTCGTGTTATAAAACTTCAGAAAATAAAAAAAAAACCAAGCTTTTTTGTGGGCCCTAAATGAATCCTTCTGTTCCCTTAAAAGACTACTGATCCCCTTTCAATGAATTTATCTTTGTATTTCTTCCGAAAGGTCCTTCAAGATGGGACGGTCTCACTACCTACTCGGTTTGCTGTTACTCTTTATTTGTTCATTTCTCTGGATTGCATCGAGCTTGGTAAAACAACCATTAAGCATTGCCTTTACTCATGGATCGTGCGTCTGCAGCGCAGACGACAATGTTACCATCGCCTCAAATGCCAGTATCACACCCTCAAATCAATCGGGACTTGCCATTCAAGATATGAAACCAATATCAGAACCCAAAATACCAAGCTACCTGCCAATCTCAAATTCCCATGGTCATCACGCACAGTCGTCAATCCCATTAAAGCTCTGGCAAAAGGCCGGTTCATTGAAAATCAACGACGACCGCGAGAAAGACATCCGCAGTTGGCTAGATGTGAACCCACGTCTACGACATGAGATTCTCACAGATGATAGCGCAGAAGAGTACATCCATGAGAATTTTGCCGACTACCCTGATATCATTGAGCTCTATTTCTCACTCCCAATTCCGATCCTAAAAGCCGATTTCCTTCGTCTGTTGATCTTGTACGCCGATGGAGGAATCTGGAGCGATCTTGATGTAACATGCCACCAACCAATCCATACTTGGATCCCGGCACAATACCTGAATAGAACAAATGTCGTTGTCGGTTTGGAATTCGATGGGTTCCAGTTCACAAGCTGGACGTTTATGGCAAAACCCAAGACAAGCCATATTGTGGCGGCCATCAAATATGTCGTCGATGGACTGAAGGCATCTGCTACACAGCACAATGTGACCACTGCCGAACTTAACATGACGATGATCGGCAGTGTGGTTGATGTTACGGGCCCACAGGCGATGACGGTTGCCCTATTGCAGAACTTGCAGAGGGAAATGGGCGTTCCTTTCGGCCGAGCGAATATAACCGATATCAACGAACCCACCCTATTCCAAGACGTGCTCGTGCTGCCTGATGCGGCCTTTGCCGCTGCTCAGGGTGGCTTCCCAGAGGGCCGAGGGCCCTACCTTGTTGAACACCATTACGCTGGCTCTTGGAAGAATGCCAATGGTGGTGAGACAAGTTCGTGACATATTCAGAACTTTGAATTGGCGTTGTACAACACGAAACATATGTGACACGAAGGATATAGGAGCATAAAAGATACATAATCTAATTCTTGCATTCGGCGTTTTATTGACTATTGGGAAGCGACTGTTGCCAGAAAATTTGAAGAATCAATGCATGTAATTTCCTGTCGGTCATTGGGTTTCAATCTTGCGGCCGGCCTTGTATGTGATGTACCGCGAATGTGAAACCTCTGCTTCTATCTTGATCCGCCGCCATAATGCCTAGTTTGCTGTTCGAGGCACCGGTCACGACATAAACTGCCAAAGGAAACCACAGGCCGGTAAATGAGGATCGGGCATCAAACGTGATGCAGAAAAAGGTGCTATCACTATTGATCTCTATCCCAGTTTGGACAAATTTATCCCTCGGCATGCTGTAAAACTTCTTGTGTTAAGAGAAAGACACGTTGTCCAAACCTCTTCTGAAGACTTTCAATACTCTAGAGCAAAGTTCTTCTCACCCAGCCATGCTGCGGTTGATGCTCTGTCCAGCGAGGGTTTATGGTATATTGGAGCACCATTTCCAGCTCCAAGGAGATGCAGCCATTGTAGAAGATAATGCGACAGAGCTGATCAACGTCCTCAAGCCGGATTTCTCATGGTTTATAGGTACACCAAGCATCTTGGACTTCCATCTAGGTCGCATATTTCGCTATGTGTTCGATCTCGTCTAATGCCAAAATTTCATGCCAACATAACGCCGAGATGGCCACTGCGTTGGGATTGGAGTTCCGCATAGTAAAGGGAGGGCGGGGCGTTGGTTGCTCATGTACCATCATCTTCAATTGCGGCCAGAGTTGTTTCTAGGTGTCACAGCCATATACATACAGACCGAAGAGTATTTGCTTTTAGCGCCATGTCATAGTAGTATGTGGTCGCATGGAGAAGAAGTGCTCGAAGAGTCTCAAGTTTCTGGGTTTGCTTGGAGGTTTACTTTACTAATTCCTTACTCTTCTTTCACTTTCATCTCACTTGTCTTTTGTTCTCATCTGACTTTCCTTTCATTATCCTGATTTTCTTTTGGCTTGCACATCACGCCCCAGCACTAGCCAGCCTGTTCACGGACATCCTGCATTCATACCGACCTAAAACACGCCATAAGAATCCACTCTGTCAATCCGTACATCATCTGCGGTGCTGGCTCTGACCAACCTTCTACAGGGCAAGAAGGACGCGGCCGCCAAATTCGGCATCGAAGCAGCCCTACATCAAGCCATACCACCAGAAGATCGACTAAATCCAAACCCTATCCTTATTGGCGACGATGACGGTTCATCCTGGCAAACAGCGGCTGACCAACAACATGCAGCAGAGCAAGGTGGTCCATCGGATGCCAAACACGACTAATAAGTCATGGCCGACGGACAACGGTGAGAACGTTCAGAGCCGGGCGAGGGTGACATGGCCAACGAACAGCAGCTGGAAGCTTTGGACAAGGATTCCGCTGACCAAACCGACAATTGCTGTTTCCACCTTTCAAATTTTCACCGGCGCAATGCGCAATGGACATTGCCTTTTGAGGATCTTCGTGGGTAGGCCAAAGGTCAGTCAATCTACAAGCTGCTTAACAGTGTCACTTGATGATACCTGTAGAGCCAGCAACCGAGAATGTCAACGCCTAGGCCAAGAAAAACGCGAGGCTGAGAGCCCAGATGATGGTTTTGGAGCAGCAGCTTCGTGGTACGCAGGCACGAGCATGTGATTCCGTGTGTATATCTCATTTTGGTTTGATTGGGTACAGTGCGCCGTGGAATGGATCGTGGACAACGGCAGCGTGATGATCCCAATCTGGAACATCACAAGAGCACGTGGTCCTGGTGGATGGCCGATCCTGACAATCATCGGCCTCAACCTCCCACGCCAGAGCGGCGTCCTTTCGAAAATGCGAAAAGACAACCCTGTGAGAAGAGGCAAGCCCTACTTCTCTGTGAAGCAATGTTCCTCATATTTTGCTGTGGCAACTAACCACGGCTGTGATACCAGAGGCACATCTATTCCTTGATTTGACGTCTTGGTGACCAAAATGCATGGCTCGCTCGAGAGAGGTGCGCATCAGCTCCGGGCAGTTACCACGTAATTGGTCAACACGCAATCGTTGTCGCCGAGAACACAAGAAAAAGGTCAGTGGAGGAGCTCGTGAAGGCAGTACCAACCTCAGAGGCCTCCCCCACTGTGGAAGGATATAATAGCTAGAGGGGATTTCAATATCCTTTCGCCAAGTATCATTCTTTGCGGGGGCTTACTGCTTCAATTCGCATCCTTCATATTGCCGCATACCATGGACGTGCTATGCCACGTTGCCACGCTTGGTACCGGCGGAGGCACGAGCTTATGATCCCGAGATAGCCCCATGTTCAAAAAGAAACGCCACGATAATGAGGTCCGACACCTGGATTCTCAACTAGCGGCTGTCTCCCATGATATCAGGGAATCCCTGCATGCGAAGGATCTGGTCATTGTCGAGTGCCACCGGTGGCAGCCCAAGTTCCCAAAGACCTAATCCCAAGGTGCCAATGATCCGGCTTTCCCTCGATGCCTACAGCGTTCGGAACCAGCTGCTTGTGCAAAAACTTGATTGTTCGGGCGGATATCTACATGTACCCGAAACGCCGGGGTTGGGAACGACTGTTGATGAGCAAGTCTTGAGTGGATCGGCAACTATGTAAATAGAGAAATTGAACCCTAATCACTTAAGGTCTCAATGGTAGACTTGGAAGGCTGGGGAGAGAGGGAGAACGATCCGCGGATGTTCTGTACCCTGTGACGTCAGGCCGATGGTTCGGCTCATGTGCCCCACGCGGGCCGCAAAGCTTAATCTCTTGATATACTCCACAATAGTATCAAATGTAATGTCTTTCCTATTTTACAAGGCCATTGATGGGTATTGTTCTAATTCTTTACTTGAGGGATGCCTGGAGGCTGTTTGAATGGGTGGCTCAATTTAGGAAGGAACGAGTAGGAACGCCCAGTTTAGGAAGGAACGCGTAGGACTGCTCTTAAAGCCTCAAATCCTTTCTTGTCTTCTTTTTCTTCTTTCTTCTCTCTTCTCTCTTCTCATATTACACTCATATCATCCAAACCATTCGTCACGTTAGCATCCAGCAACAATGTTGACCATTTCTTCGTTTGTTTTCTTCGTTCTGCTTGCCGCCATGGCGGCGTACTGGCGCCAGGATCTATTTGAGCTTGTTGGAAGTGTGGTGGTAGTTTCTGCGGTGCTTGTCGCGGGGGCTTGCAGTCTGAGCAGGTAAGTTTGGATGATTTCACCCCCCATATGTCCCCTCGACACTAAAGGAGCTGTTAAGAATCCTATCCTAAGTCCCATCCCAAGTCCCATCCCAATACCCATCCCAAGTCCCATCCCAATACCCATCCAAAAACCCATCCAATACCCATCCAAATACCCATCCAAATACCCATCCAAATACCCATCCAAGTACCCATCCAGATACCCATCCAGATAACCTATTGAGACTAACATTGAGTGGTCCCCGTGCCTGGTTCTTGTGTTTGCTACAAACTGTAGCGAAGTTGGCCGTAGAGCCAAAAATTGAGATTGTCTACGCCGAGGCCGACGAGGCCTCGGCCAAAGAAAACGCAAGGCTGAGAGCCCAGGTGGTGGATTTGGAACAGCAGCTCCGTGGTACGGAGGCACGAGCACGTGTTTCCGAGGTAGCCCGGGAGACCGACAAGAAACGCCACGACAAGGAGGTCCGACACCTGGATTCTCAATTGGCGACCGTCTCCCGGGGTGTCAAGGAAACCCTGCGCGCGAAGGATCAGGCCCTCGGCGAGTGCCGCCACTGGCGGCGCAAGTTTGAGGACCTGGAAGACCTACAGCAGCAGGCCCAGGAAAACCCTGTTCGCGGGATCCAGGGACGTGCTCGTTGGGCCCCGGCCAAGGAATACGGAGTGGTGAAGCGGGAATGTGGTCGACCGGCAAGAGAGTTGACTGCCATTGCGCAGGTGGCGATCGTCAATGCGGCGTGGAAGTCCAAGATGGTCAGTTGCGAGTCCAAGCTGGCAAGTTTCGAGAGCGAGGCCAGAGACTATGTGGCTCGGACAACTGGCCAGATTGGGTCTCTTCACGCCGCCGCCACCGCGCTCAGCGAGGAGAACGCATACCTCAAGAAGCAGATCCAGGCAAAGCCCGACATCTCCCACGAGCTGGCCCAGCAGCGACTAGAGGATGCGGTGCAGCGCACAATGGTGTTTGCCGACCAGCAGCATGAGGAGCGTGTCAACTCGCTGAAGCAAACTTACCTCAAGGAGCTGATGGCAGCCAAGGTCGACTACGAGGGAAAGCTGAAGAAAGCAACAGCAGAAATTGAGGCAAAGGAGACCGCGCTGGCCCAGCAGCGTGAGGCGGCTGAGAGCGCCACCCAGGAGATCAACTCCTTGAAGGGCCAACTCGCCGCCAACGAAGCGCAGATGGGCGAGCTGCGGGAAGCCAATGCCAAAATTGCTGGTGATCTACGGGTCACGAAGGAAGAAAATGCCAAGCTTGACCAGCAGTTGGAGCAAGGAACTGCTGAGGTCGTCAGGCTTGTGCAGGAGAGCGACGGCCATGAAAGGGCCGGCAAGAGGCTGCGAGAGAAGTACACTAGGTTGAAGTCTACGAACAACACTCTTGTGGAGGAGAAGGTGCGCCTTGAGGGGGAGGTCGAGTGGAGGGAGGTAGCGCTGTGCGAGGCTGCAGAGTCAGGTGAAAAGGCTTACCAAGAGGTGCACAAGTTGAAGCACCAGGTACAAAGATTGGAGGACGACAACCAAATCCTGGCGGATCATAATGAGGAGATCTTCTGTCACTCGATAAGAGAAGACCTCAACCACCAGCAGACTCAGGCCAGAGTGAGCAACCTCGAGAACCAGGTGGCGAACTATCAAACCGCAGAAGCAGCGGAAATTACTCAAGCCGTGCAAGGGTTCGGTATGAGTGCTGACTAAGCACCCGTTCCCGCCCGCCCACCTCCAGGGCTGCCATCTGGTTGCTCACTCTGGTGTCGTCCAAGTGCTTCCTCTTATCTACTCCATCCCCAAATCAAGGTCCCCACCCTCCTCTCGCTCCTTCCTTCCTGTTGGTTTTGTTAATTCCCTCATCCCCCTTCATCTGCCCCCCCCCCATCCCCATCTGTCGCATCTACCCTTTCCTCCCCTTCCTGCCGACCGGTCATTGTTCATTACATCACAGCATGTCCCGTTGATCACTCATCTCTTATGAATTCTTCACCATACCGTTCGTTTGCCGCTCGGCCATTGTTGCTGAGTCTGGCCAAGCTTTTCTTCGTCGCCGTCTCACAAATTCCTTTCGCCACTGCTGCGCCTACGTTCTCACCTCTCTTTCTCTCATCCCGCGACACAGAACCACCAAAGGAACCGAGCGATCCGAGTTTATGGCTTTACTTGGGATTTTCAGCTGCTCTTGTATTGAGCGGTGGAGCATTTGCCGGTCTTACGATTGCCTTGATGGGACAGGTCAGCTCTTTCCAAAGCGGCTAAAAATTCCCTGAACCACACTAACTTCATGTTTGCTTACAGGATGAAGTTTATCTCCAAGTCATCAAGACCTCCGGCGAAGGGCATGAAAGGAAAAATGCTACTAGCGTTCTCAAACTCTTGAACCACGGAAAGCATTGGGTTCTTGTCACCCTCCTCCTCAGCAATGTGATCACAAATGAAACTTTACCCATCGTCCTTGACCGAACACTTGGCGGTGGTTGGCCGGCGGTGCTAGGAAGCACTGCTTTGATTGTCATTTTCGGCGAGATTGTTCCACAGTCTATTTGCGTTCGTTATGGTCTTCCCATCGGTGCCTGGATGGCACCTTGTGTTTTGGTCTTGATGTACATCATGTCTCCAGTCGCATGGCCTATCGCAAAGTTGCTAGATAGGCTCCTTGGAGAGGATCATGGTACTATCTACAAAAAGGCCGGATTGAAAACACTCGTCACCCTCCACAAAACCTTGGGCGAAGCCGGAGAGCAACTCAACTCCGATGAAGTGACTATTATTAGTGCAGTTCTCGACCTCAAAGAAAAGTCAGTAGGCAGCATCATGACACCAATGGACGATGTCTTCACTATGTCTGCCGACACTGTCTTGGATGAGCGCACGATGGACCACATTCTTTCCCAAGGATATTCCCGCATTCCCATCCATGCACCCGACAATCCGATGAATTTTGTTGGTATGCTCCTTGTCAAGATGCTCATTACATACGACCCGGAAGATTGCAAACATGTCCGCGATTTTGCTTTGGCTACACTTCCTGAAACACGCCCTGAAACCAGCTGTCTGGACATTGTGAATTTCTTCCAAGAGGGCAAGTCCCATATGGTCCTTGTCTCTGAATATCCTAGTGAGGATCGTGGCGCTCTTGGAGTCGTCACTCTGGAAGATGTTATCGAAGAATTAATCGGCGAAGAAATCATTGACGAATCCGATGTCTTTATTGATGTCCACAAAGCCATCCGACGAATGACACCTGCACCCAAGTCTCGTGTCGCCAAAGGCAAAATCGTCGAGGAGCCTCCTTTAAACGCCTCTGTTATCACCGATGGCGACTTGATCGACGTGGATTCCACACAACCCTCATCTCTCCCCAAGCCTTCCGACTTGATACGACGCCGCAGTTCCGCGGAACCACCTCTTCCCCGCTTTCAACTTCGCAAAACCAATACCGACATCAACCCCGACTCGGCAAATGAATGGGTCACACAAGTCGGCACCACAGATGAGATTCGAGAGCACCTCAAGCATCTTGGTCCCTCCAACCTGGCCAGTAAGCCACGCCAAACCCGTTACCACGCTGTCAAGATCAAGCGCAATAGCGCCTCTCCGTCCCGTTCCGCACAAACCGACTTTGAGTCCGGACAAAGCACCTCCGACTCCCAAAAGCTTATCCCTTCTTCTACTGGATACCAAGGTGGCATAGGCGCGGGCTTGCTCAACTCCGCTGGACCAGATGCCAAAGATGGTGCGCATGCTCTCAAACTTGGCTACGGCACCATGGCTTCGAATGACAATGTGACCAAAGGCACCGGTGCTCAGCAATACAAAGACCTTCCCCACGTCTCCATTCCCGAGGCTGTCCATGAGGAGCACGAAGACCAACCGCGTTCTGGGTCGACGCGGGAGGCCAGCAGTGTTGCTTTACGCGACGATTCCGAAAACCAACCGCATTCTGGGTCGACGCGGAATGCTAGTAGTGACGAAGGCAGCATTCAATCGTCTGATACACCAGGATTAATTTACCACCACCGAGGACCGGCGCGCAGTGGAAGCATCACAGAACAGATTGTGGATGTCAATGGTATTCGCAAAGTTGTCCTTCACGCAAATTGCTCGAGTTCTTCAGAAGGTGAATCCCATTCATCGGGCCATCGTCGCGACCACCGCCATGCCGAGGGTACGGTCGTTGACACCGATGACGCAAAATCAGAAAATGCTGATGGTGCCCACGCAAAGTCCAAGAAGAAGCGCCGCCGAAAGAAGCACGGCAAAGCTTCAAAATCTGATGGCGGTCCCTCGGAGGACCAGCCGTTACTTCAATAAGAAGTTGCTTCAATAATTGTTATTCCAATGATATATTACATAGTTCAATGAATCCTGTCACACTTACTTTCCTATTACAATAATTATCCGTATTCGCTCATCTTTGCAAAGGTATATGCCAAATGAGAAGCCCAAAACCTTTTAATTCCCGGAAGTATTTGACGGTAGGTTTCACAGTCACAGACCTTGTCGCTTAACTTGGAAATGATTCATGTAAATGCAATGTTAGAGATATAGAATAGGCATGCTACGAAGGGGCATAGCGTTCAGGGTCGCATGCACTCATTTTAATATAACCTGCAAATTGAGGTCGTCGAATTCTGTAATAAGGAAGCCTGTATCTAGGATTACTATTACGGGTTGTCTAGTGAAGGACGTATGCTTTAGTTGATATAATCATTGCGAGAGAAAAGTGAGAAGGGAGAAAAGTGAGAGATCCTAAGTTTTAGTGTAAAAAATAGGACTAGAAACTTAATAGCGTCCAGTAGGTGGTAGAGTTGATGTATAGTTATATCTAGTAGTAAACCACCTTAAAATATGGTGATAGATGTTCGTTGTATAGGCTTGCTGAGCCGATTCCGTGCTGGAATGGGTTGATTTACAATATACCGTATAGATAAATGCAACGGTCTAGATTCAGGCCAAATACAAGCATCAAATGAGCGTACACGACACTGAGCGCTATGCCCCTTCGTACATACTGTTACACCTAGTATAGCCTCGAGAAACAGATATTGTGCAGATTTGCTTTGATTTTCTCAGACTAGATACATGAATGTTCTTTCCAAAAGAACCCCCCAAATAACAGGATATGACGACCCGATGACAACAAAAGGTATATGCAACATGTGATCGCTATCCATACATCCATCATAAAGTTGTCCAATGTTCGGTGAGGCCTCGTTAAAACCGACCGGGTTGAAAAACTCATTTGAGAAAATGGCCCAGCTCGGAAAGAGTACCTCACGTGGTTGTTTCGTTGACTCGAAATGCTTATAGAAACCTATAGGTTGCCAAAAGTCGAGCAGTCTTCGCGCACGGGAGTAACGGGCGTGCAAGTTGAAGAGGTGCAATGGTTGTTGATGTATTGCGAGTACTGGCGAATGTTCCGTTGGTGATGTCCAAAAGACGATGTCGTGGATGTAAACCGGTCGATTGATGTGATTTCCCGTTGGTGTTGTGATGAAGCGATCATTGCAGAAGGGGATCCTAGTGAGAAAGTTAGTTTTGCAAAAAGAAAGAACAGTACAGGTTGAACATACGCGGAAGTGTTTCTGGTGATTGTTGGCACGCTGGACACGAGCAACATAGCGATTCTCTTGGCGAAGGGCGCGAGTTCTCTCGCGGCGGTCGGCGATGATAGCAGCTTCCTTTTGCTCTTCGGTGACTCCAATCATGCCCATGCCACCGTTGGCACGAGTGACAAGAGCGCGGTGATGGTTGTTGCGGACACGAGGTGGTTCCTCCTCAATTTCTCCATTTGCGATGGCAAGCTGGCGGGCAGCTCGTTCGGCGGCCGAGGGGTATTTGTGCAGGTTTTGCTTGTAATACTTGGCAAGCGAACGATGGCCGACACTCTTTCCAGATGGAAGGTGGAGTTCATAATCTGCCTCGTAGGCACCTGATGCGTTTCGGTATGAGTCAAGATCGTCCTCATCGACGGAGGATGCAGAACTGTCGGTTTCCCAACCTTGGTCCTCTCCATCGCCGTTCACTTTGACGCCACCGCTCTCAGCAGTGGATTCATCCTCATCTTCGGAGTAGGTGCTCCGGAAGTCGTAGTATTGGCCAATTTCAACTTGCTCTTCTTCGGATTCAAAGGCAATCATGCAGTGGCTCTTGTCGCGCATGTGGGTTTGGATGGCTTGTGCGTCGTTCTTGATGGCGTGGCAGTAAAGACATTCAAAGTTTTCGGTGATTTTTCGGTAGAGATAGTTCACGAGGCCATCGAGATCCGCCAAATATTTTTGTTCAGGGATGAACATGCCGTGATCTTTGCGCATGTGGTCCACGTTGGTGTGAATATCGGTTGAGTCGGTTTTGCAGAAGAGACAGCGAGACGGCAAGAAGTCATCTTTCTTGATATCTGTTTCCATATCCTCGTCTTCTTCTTCATCAATGGTGGTAGTCTTGAGGTCCTCGGTGACCTTGCTGACGTCATTGTCGGATTTAGTAACGGGTTCGCCGAGAGAGAAAGCGGAACTCTGGACGGAGGCAGCATCGCCATCCTTACGTAGGCTAGCCGCACGTTGCTTATGCTTCGAGCTGTTGATGTGATTTTGGTACGAGTTTTCGCTGTAGAATGCCTTGTTGCATGTGTGGCAGGTCTTTTCGTACGAAGCCTTGGCGGCGGCCTCGTTAGATGTAGCTTTGGCGGCGAGTACTTTTTCGTTGAATGTTTCGAGAGTGACTGGTGGCAGGGAAGCGATGCGACGCTTCATGTTGTAAAGACTAGGACGAATGAGCTACTGAATTCCCCAAAAAAAAAAAAAAAAAAAAAGCAAGAAAATAGGAATTTAATACTTACTGCCAGTCTTTGCGCATGTGATCTCTCTGCGCATCGCTGCGTTGGAAGGCAACGAGACAGGTGTTGCAAGTGTATTGCAGCGAGGCTGCGTCTTGGTTGGTCGACGACATATCGGTGATTTTTCCAAAGTCGTGGGTGGTTGGAAGGGCGGGTTTTCCCTGTGGATTGTGGGATGAATATTTGTTGTAGGCGGGGTACATATGAAGGCTCTGCCTTGACCCGATTTCAATGATTTTTTGATGATCTGAGTATAGATTGATGATCAAAGTAGATGAAAGTGATACTCAGATAGATGTAAGAAAGAAGAATTTTGACAGGAAATACTCTTGCGAGTCAGTCTTTATGCACTTTAAGACGTCCAGGGTTGATCTTCTGAATTTACTTTTCTTATCGAGCGACTAAACCCCTCTACAATGCTACTAGTACTATCTAGGTAATTGCGCTAACCATAAATGGTTTAGTAACTTCCAAAAAGGCTGGCGGGCTGAGTAATCAAAGTCCAGCCGGACTATTTGACTTCCGACAGCTCCGATGCCGAAAGTGGATATTTTATGCCTGAGGCATCATAGTCTTACATAACGTAATCGGTAAGCGAGTCGGCCATGTAAGCCAGCCGGCCACCCAGTCTAACATACTAAGTTTAAATGGATATATCATAGCCACAACGCCATTAAATTAATGTAACTAAATTCATTTATCTATTTGGACATGTTTCTCTCCTATGCCCCGGCTGCCTACATATTCCACAGGCTCGCCCGGCCCGTATAGGTGGCTGTAAACCCTCCGATACCTGCTCACGATAGGTATTGATACGTGCAACTTGGGCCTCGAATGGTTCCCCACGTAGCTCACGAACCTCCTGGACTGAAAGATCTCCTTCGTGGACTATCGTCCTCGTAGACCGAGTCCGCTTTTGCTTCTGCTTCTCGTTGGCGGCGCGTAAATCGCTCACTTCTTTCTCAAGTAAAGCGGCGGACTGCATTGTGATTTGACAGGCTTTTAAAACCTTGTTTATCGCGCAATTTAGCGGGCTCGGAGGGCTCTTTGATCTAGCACGAAGTAAAGCTTTAATTGACGAAGCTTGCTTTTGTAATTGCACGTAGTTCGAGGGCGTTTTTGGGTCCCAATCGCTCCCCCTACTCGGAGGGGGGTCGGGGTTCGAAGACGGATATTTAGCTTCGAGATCACTCGATTAGGTGCAAAAGGTATTAAGCCAGCTGCTCCGAAGCTATTCTTAATAGTCTCCGATTTAAAAGCTTCGATTCGTGCGAGGGGGTATGCTTCAAGGAAGTCAAGTTTATCGATATGGTTGATCCCGTTCCGCATTTTCATTTCAACTAGCCGACCATATGATCGCTTTAACACAGCAAAACAACCGATATCCAGGGGTTGTAAAAGATGAGAGGAGTGCGGAGGCATACAAATTGGTATAACCTTATTTTGCTCGCAAATTTCATCGAATTTAGGGGTCAAATGGCTTCCATGTCCGTCGAGTATTAGGAGACGATACCCCCCTTCGTACGCGAAGAAGTGCTAGGAATAAAGAGCTTTTCAAGCCAACGAAGTCCAATTTCATCAGAGGTCCAACCGTTCGGACTAACTTCAAATCGCCAGTCATCCGGAAGGCCATCAAACCATGATTCAATAAAGACTTTGCCTTTAAAAATGATACACGGAGGGAGGGCCCAACCCGACGAATTTGTACACTCAATAGCAGTCACCCATTCGCGATTTCCAGGTTGTAAAAGCGAGCGCCGGCCGTAGAATTCGCTCCTTGTAATCACCTTCGCTGTAGCGATTAGCCCCATCGCGAAGCCGGTCTCATCGAAGTTATAAACGTCATCGGGGTGGATTCCAAATTGGAGGATTGTTTTTTGAACAAGATCGAACCACCCTTGGATGATTTTCGGGTCTTCGCACTTCGCACGTTCGTAATTATAGCGTCTCGAGAATCGGGATGAGAGGAGAGGGTGTCGTTTCACAAAGTTATAAACCCATTTTTCGCCGACCGAAATAACCGGGGTGGTTCCACGTTGTTGAAGTAAAAGGTTCGCCATTTCTCGTACAGTAGAAGGCCGGGGGGCAGATCCACGAGAGTCCATAGAGAGAACCCATCTTTGAAGAGATTCCTCTTCATATTCGGTCAATTTATGCGAATTTGCGCGACAAATCGCGCGATTTTGGTGGCCACGTAGTCGGTCTTGAAGTGTTGAACGTGGTATGTTAAAAACGCGTGCCACTTCGCGAATTGAAGAGATTTCTTTCTTTTTAAAAGCTTCAATAGCTAATAAAACCCTACCCTCTTGCTCTGCTGAATTGCTAGAGGATTGGGAGCGAATTGGTGGCATGGTGCGCGGTTGAATTGACTAAGTGCTAATCTATGGACGCGTTTTGGGCTGGGTGGCCGGCTGGCTTACATGGCCGACTCGCTTACCGATTACGTTAGGTAAGCTGGAGCATCTTGGTCTTGATTCAACGGAGACGAACAATTTACTAGTGCCCTTAATACCATACAGCTATCTTCACTCCCTCAGATATGCTACTCTGTTGAAAATGACAAGGCTCCGCGGAGGTTCCATCGATGACCCAGACATCGCGCGATCCCCCGGGCGAACTCACAGTTATCGGTCAAAACTCCCACCAAACGCACCGGACGCGCTCATACACAACACTATCGAGGTATCCGACCCCTCAAGGGTCCTTCCCCAATATCGTGATGATCGAAGGCGAAAATTCAATGGCTTAGTGCGCAGGTGAGTGGAACTCCAACCGTTGGGCCTCGACCTCCTAACTCCGCATGACACTAATTGGTTTGGCCGAAAAGGTACAAAGCTCAACTGCTTCACGGCTGCGATAATCCCGGATGTCGAACCGCCACATGTGCCAGTCATCGCAGAAGACTCAGTGAAGGTCCATATCGTCGATACACGGAACTGAGTGCGAGAACCTTGGCATGCTACCTCGCCAGCTTGGATGACGCAGAGACCGGTTTATGTCTGAACGTGCCTAAGCCTCCACCGCAATTGACAGTGGAAGATTACCATCGGATTTCCCTGCGCCGAACACGTACACTTGAAGCACAGACGGCAGCGGCTAACAGATCACCAAACCCGGATCAAGACGATGAAGGCCACTCCGCTCACGACGCATCCAGACCTGGGCAAAACAGGTCAGCCTTATCGAAAGTGAAAGAAGGGGGTTCCTTGCCCCAAATTCATACCGGTAGCAGCTATATCCAAGACCTCGACCATACCGCTGAGCAACAACTAAAAGACCCCAAGTCTTTTACACAGAACCTCTTTGATACAATTTCGCTCCGTATGGTTGAATGGCTTCCTCTTCGCCGTGCCCCAGATACATTGGAGCCATCGTCCAAATCACCCGCGCCGGGACCGGCAAGCCATTCATCTACTGCCGAGAAGCACCACTGCCATGCCGACAATGTTCCAAGCAGAGATCTCAAAATCCCATGCAGTTCCACACTTGCGCACCAGCCAGGCTCTCGGCCACGTACTCCTTCGTCGCGAATATCGGGTTCTCAGCCTTCCGCGGTCGAGCTCAAGTTTCAAAACCAGCATGTCAAGCGACTCTCAGTCTCCGAGGTTGACCATTGGCGCCAGAGTCCACGTTCAAGCCTTGACGATAAAAGGAAACCAGAATTCAACAAGAAGCTCCCAGTAGCTTCTTCTGATGATTTCATCAGCCTACCCTCACCACCAGCGTTAAAGCACCGCCCGCAAAAGCACCGCGGAAGAATTGGGGATGTCGATCCAGTTCCTCTCAAGGAACAGCGCAAAAGTCAACGGCGTGTCTCCTGGGACAGCCAGAAGCTGCTGGATGAGGTATCTCCTATAAATAGTACGGCAAGCACGGAGCTCATGCCTCCTCCTCTTCCTCCTTCTGTTACCCAATCTCCCACTGAGTACAAGACAAAGCAAAGTCCTGCCGACAACTCGCTAGACACAATCCCGCTGGCTCAGACGGTCACTCATCTTACACCCGAGATCATCGATGGTCTGTCGCAAGTCATGATTGAATCTGCGGAAGACGCTGATTGCTGGGAGGAAGAGCTTGATCGTATCCAGTGCGCTGGCAGTTTTGAGCAGCCGGATTGGCGTTTTGCTACTCTACGTCAGCGTGAGGTATTTCCGTTCGTTGCTCAAAGTGCATTTTTCGTGTTCAGCAGCCCCAGTCAGATCTTGCGCTCCTTTGGTAGCGAGTCAACGGATATGATCGGGGCTACTTCCAGTCGTCTTGATATTTCCAATTTGCGGTTATCACTGCAGCGCTTATTTACAATTTGCCCATGGGATATTGCACTGCATAGCCTATGGAGCTCTCTGGACAAGCTCTTTGTTCCCCCACGCGGATTTACCTCTTCTGGACGGCCATCCCGCCGATCGTCTCGTAGTTCGACGACGACAGGAGCTGCGCCCCCTCCCGTCGTTCCCCGACGAATGTCTGAGTCTGCCAATGAAGATCATCTGTCGGATCCTGATGCCGCCTACATTGCCACGATTGTCTTGTTCACTTTGGTCAGCTTTGTGCCTAATATTGACTTGGGAACTTGGAAAGCGGTGGTTCGGATGCGTGCAGCTGGGTCTGTTGCTTCACTATCGGACATGCGCAAGCTGCCCCCGAAGAGTGCTCAGCAAGCTATCGAGGTGACGGACAGATTTGAGCACGAGTTAGGTCTCCGTCTCATTAATCGCCTCGTGCAGGCTCTCACTGCACGACTGGCATACCATGAAATATCCAAGGCCCGCCAAGTATACAGCCTGGACTTACCAACACAACGAAGACCCAGCGTCTTAGACCGCGTGGTTGACTATCTTAGTGAGCACCACATCTCTCATACTGCTGGCAGCGATGAGCCCGGCGAGTCCATTAGCCCAGCCTCCCTCATTGTTGAATGGCTTCGGACTCTTTTCCTGCGTGAATGGGATGGCAACCCTGAAATGGCTCGTAGCACCCCAGCCGGTGGTGCGGTTCATATTCTCGCCTCGATGTACAAGGAACGAAACCGGTTAGGCCTTTCACCCGAAGACTTCCATACACCTCTTCTCACAGAGCGGCTGGACCCTTTGGATATGCCCGTGGCATGGGCTGGGAGCCTCCCCAACAACCGAACGATGCATCTGCTATCATACTCCTTCCTTTTCCCTCCATCCTCTCTCGTGATCTACTTCCGTGCTTTGAACTATTCCGCCATGACTAAGTCCTATGAGGCTGCTATGACCACCACGAGACATGTCACTCAGACTGCCTTCGGCGCCATTCAAATCTCCGATGACCCTCGACTCCTCACCCGCATGAAAACATCCATGTCCACCTACCTTGTTCTCGTGGTCCGCCGAGATAATATTCTCTCCGATGCCTTGAGCCAATTATGGCGCCGTGAAAAGCGCGAATTGATGCGACCTTTGAAGGTGCAAATGGGCATGGATGAAGGAGAAGAAGGGCTTGACCATGGTGGTGTTCAACAAGAGTTCTTCCGCTTGCTCATGGGTCAAGCCTTTGACCCATCTTACGGCATGTTCACAGTTGACACTCGACACCGCATGTCTTGGTTCCAACCGTGCTCATTGGAACCTCTCTACAAGTTCGAACTTATTGGTCTGTTGATGTCTATTGCAATTTACAACGGCCTGACCCTCCCCGTGAACCTGCCCACTGCCTTTTACCGCAAAGTGCTGGGCCTGAAGGTGAAGCATCTGGACCACATTCGGGATGGATGGCCGGAGCTTAGCCAAGGGCTCGACACATTATTGTCATGGAAAGATGGCGATGTTGAGGATGTTTTCACACGAACTTACGAGTTCAGCTTCGAAGCCTTTGGAAGTATAGAGACAATCGATATGCAAAAGGTTAATCGGGACGCGCCGTGGCCTCTTGCTAGCAAAATCACCACCCCGGCTCCGGCTCCGGCTCCTATCGCAGGCTCTAGCGCTTGGATGGATGTGCCAGCTTACTGCGACCCTGCGATATTGAGCTCAACAACCTCCATGGCAGTCGAGGAGGCTACCGATGTCACATCCTGTGAGCCTGCCTCAGGCATGACCGCCGAGTCGGGGCCTGACTCCCTATCACTTCAGCCCCCTCTACTTCCAGCTGAAGAGGCCGCGCTCGTGACGAATAAAAATCGACATCAGTTTGTCAAGGATTACATCTTCTGGCTCACAGACAAATCCATTCGACCACAGTTTGAAGCCTTCCAGAGGGGTTTCAACACGTGCCTGGATCGATCGGCCCTCTCCATCTTCTCCCCGGAAGCCCTCAAAACCGTGGTAGAAGGTATCCAATCTATTGACGTAAAAGAGCTCGAGAACCACACCCGGTACGAGGGTGGATTTGGTCCTGATAATCGTGTCATCCGTGACTTTTGGAATATTGTCCAAGAATACCCCAATGAAAAGAGGGCCCAGTTACTCGAATTCGTCACTGCTAGTGACCGAGTCCCCGTCAACGGGATCTCAAGCATTATGTTTGTGATTCAGAAAAATGGCGTCGGAGATTTAGTAAGTTCCACTTTCTCCATTATTATATGAAGTCTTATGCTGATTGTTCCTATAGCGTCTTCCTACTAGCCTGACGTGCTTCGGACGTTTACTTTTGCCAGAGTATTCGTCAAGGGAGGCCTTAGCGAAGAAGCTTGACAAAGCTCTCGAAAATGCCCAAGGATTTGGCGTTGCATAAAATGTCAGATTTCACTGTTTTACCTATACATACCCATTTGTTCCATAATTGATGTGTTGGCATTCTATCTCAATGCAAATAGTATATTTTCATGAAGTACTTGACCTTCTACTAGACATCTAAAGAGGATCCCTCATTAAGATAGACAAATCACAGGTTATAGATCTTCATCGGACTCCAGTGCAGAGCTGTGGTTCGCCTGACGATGTGGCGCTACGCAAAATTATATGACCAAATCGGACTTCTGAGGTCCGGGAGGATTTTATGACTCTTAACGTTCATCTCACTTATATCTTTATTTCCCTCATATATCTCTTGCATTGGGAATACTTTTTGAGCCAAATACTCTGTAAGGCACTCCGATTCGCATCCCTTGGAGCCCCGCGATAAGGAAATCCCGAGGTCACTTTCAGGGTCTTCAATATCTGCAAGTTTCTAACATAAATTTACCAGCTCACCCCAGATATTCTCTCAACATTGAACATGGCCCCAATTATCCACTGCGTGCGCCATGCCCAAGTACGTCCATATCGCGACAATGATCCCAAGAAACTCCCTCTTGACAATTGATTCGCAACATTGGAACATGGCTCTTCACTGCTCAGTCGACCTAATAGAAACCCACAGGGCCTGCATAATCTTTGCACCGCCAACCATGTCATCCAAGACCCCCTTCTCACCGACCTTGGACACGAGCAATGCCGAACTCTCCGCGAGAATTTCCCCCGCCATGCCAATATCGATCTGGTGACCGCCTCACCCCTCCGTCGCACCCTCTATACTGCGCTCGAGAGCTTTGCGCCCGTCTTTGAGTCAAAGCCGGATTTGAAAATTATTGCCCTGCCTGATATTCAGGAGATCTCAGACGTTGCATGTGATACTGGCAGCGAGCCTTCTGTTCTGAAAGAGGAATTCCAAACAGTTGATCTGGATCTCGTGCATGATGGGTGGAATAACAAGGTATGCTTCTCACTTGCCTAAAATTCGGGGGTCAACCCGTATTCAACACGTGGTATACTCACATCTTTCTATCAAAGGCATCCGGTCGCTACGCCCCAACCAACCATTCCCTCAAGCAACGCGCTCGCGCGGCCCGTCGCTGGCTGAAAGCCCGCCCGGAGAAGGAAATTGTCATGGTCACGCACGGCGGGTTCTTGCACTACTTCACTGAAGATTGGGAAGACAACAGCCAGTTCCAAGGTATGTGACGTAACAACCATTGCCGCGAATTTTACTAACGTTTTCTTTCTCGCAGGCACTGGGTGGTCTAACACCGAGTACCGCACTTTCTCTTTCACCGAGGAAACACACACAGACGATCTGGAGGGATACCCGCTGGATGGTGATAATGCGTCACTCGAGGAGACAAGCGACTCACGGCAACGCCGGGGTAAGACTGGACCTATGCCTAGCCGGGAGGAACAGAAGACGCTGTATAAGAAGGGCATTCAGGGCTGGGGTGACCAGGGATTGCAGATGAGTACTGCTGAGCGGGAGGCGGCTAAGGCCACTGGAGGTGAGGAAGTCAACGGCGTCCGGGTATGAAATGGGCAGTGAACAAAAGTGTGATTTGATGGACATTGCTATTGTACTTTTCAGTTGTCGCAGATTGCGACAGGTTACAAAGATAGAGCCAATATAAACATAGATCTGACATAGACAAAAAAATTATTCCTTGAATTCTGAAGGCTTTTTATTACATTATTGGTTTCTTTACTCCAGTTCCCTTGGTTCTTAAACCCCTTGGGCTATTTTGGCCTTTGCATGTGTTTCAGTAAACAATAGAACAAAGCTGACAAGCATGCATTGTATCAAGGTCTTCATTGTCGAGTCCTTTACTCGTTCTAAATCTTCTTTATGTTTGGCTGTGAACAATGACATTCGGCCTCTGGGACACGATGAACCAGTCTGCCATAGCCATCTCGACAAAGGGCTTATACAGAACCACTATGGGCTAGACTACCCTTTGTCTTGGACATGATTGTCTGTATAATGTCCTTCGGTCCCGTTGCTTTTGATCTCATCATTGGGAGCATTCTAGCTCAAAACAGAGCTCAACGCCTGTCTTCCACTTCTATACATATAATATATATGGAGTGCGAATCATCCGCTGAGTACCTTTTCTATTCTTTTCAAGATTGACACTGACCACTTTCACCTAGGACCATTTACCTACGGAGTACTACGCTATCATATCTTCTTATGCCACAGGTGGGCATCCTCCCAGAAGATGATCATTGCTAATATATAACAAACTAGGGCAACCTTGCATTCAACGAGAACCGATCCGAACATCCTTTATTACCTCTACGGCTAAGTCCTTTGATAACCCCCATCCCCACCCTTTACCTCCCTTACTAACAAGATCTAGAGATTACTACACCATCTACCGTTCCAGGACATTCGAATATACCGTCTCAAATATCATACCACACCCGGTAGGTCATTCCAGGTGTATGGAGATATGCTAACAAACCGAATTAGGTCCCATGCGATGATATTCCACCAAACAGGGATTCAGATAATAACTGACTGAATGGCTAAGTCCTTTATTACCTTTCTTAGCAACGTGAATAAGTACTAACGAAGTATAGGCCGGTCGAGATTCTTTGTTCAGACATCATCACATAGTTCCCTTACCAGGTGAGTCTTTCTTCGCCATCGTGTCACTAACCGCAGTTTTATAGATACACCCCGACGATATATTCATAAAATACCATGGCCAGCTATTAGCCAGTGAACTAGATTTACTACTCTCCTATGTGATCTGGATTCCGTGCTAACGAATATAGACCGGACTTGGTCCAGAAGATTGCACATACTATTTTCTTTCCAAGCATCTAGGTCACTCCCCTGAGTCCCATTCTGAAAAACTTGGATTTTACACGCAGCCATATGTCACCAGACCACTGAATTTAACAGCCGGGTGAAGCTCTGACTTCATCTTTGTCTAGAAAACTACCCATTATATGCTTTCCAAGCAGCTAAGTGATTACTTTTACCCCTTTGTCACTAACTTAATACAGACATATATGGACAGTTCCTGAGGTTCTGATGAGCAGGTTTGGTATGTCTAGCTCAACCGATTATAACCTTTTGTATATGTATGTGTACGCAACCTAGCAAACTGTGATTCTTTCTTGGCTAATCATTTATATATTATCTCAACCTTGGAAGGGGTTTGAAAGCACAGCTAAGCCATTCTCTTGACCTTTAAGTCAATCCTTCCCTATTGCAGTTAACATGGGATGATAGGAGGTAAACAACAAGTCTTGCTGAATGTATAACCTAAATACATACACTCTATAATTTGAAACGATATGTATTATGCCGAAGTCCTTTCTCAAATTTGTGGCGGTTAAGTTAATATAGGATCGAGCTAGGGCTTGATATATCCAACAAGATATACGTTGGATACAAAACCAGTTTTGAAATATTTTACCAGCGTCGCATTTGTCGGAATAAGATTCTACAGGTCGAATATTGCCCGACTATCCGACCCATCTCAGATCATCGTCGTGATCCGCTTGGTGGAGGCGCTGTTCGGGCAATACATATGGGTGGCCCAGCCCTAAAAAGCAAAGTTAAGCTACTGATCTGGCCTTGAAATACAGTACTTGGGAATAATTTCATTAAAGACATTCAAAACTAGGAGAAATATTACAAATATACAATATTTACTTTGATGACAGCATGTAAATCTGTACTTTCGATCTGGATACCTGTTATGTCAGGGCCAAGCGATAGAAGCAAGAAATTTATAAGCTTGAATGTCATGCATAGAATGCCGATGCCTATATTTCTCTAGCTTCCAAGGTTGATCCTTCGTGGACTATAAATGCTGGTGCCTCAATTGACGTACGAATTAGCGGGGATAGGCCTTCTATTTTTAGGTGCCGATCACTAAGTCCCGTGGCGGAGAGCAGACTTCAACTCACATATAACTCCTCTACATAACCAGGGTAGTCACTTGAGCACATTGAATAGATGAGAAGATGATCGATGAAAACCTACCTAGTACGTTATAAGGAGCTCTTATCTGCGGGCTACGTCATACCCCGGCTTTGTGATTATACTGACCGCACGACAGCGTTCTTCCTCAAGAACAATTCAAAACAACCTCAGATCAGCACGATATACCATCGTCAACATGGCAATGACCCCGAACCTGCTTACTCCTTGCGCGCCCTTGACCCCGCCGCCCCAACATCACAAAACCGCTACGGAGTCGCGCTGTATGACCCTTATGTGACAGATGTGGTCTACGGCGAGGTTGCTGTGGCTCCAGATTGGACCCAACCGAGTCTGTCGGCAGACACAATACGAGCAAATGGCGGCATTGTACCGCCCCCAGAACCCATCCTCCCTACAGAGTTCACTATCCAACTCTACAACCCCGACCAAGAGATCACAGTGAAATATCATACCAAATCGTGGAACAAACCAGCACGGTGGGAATTTGAGATGCCGCAAAACACATTCCGGGTTCCGTCCACTTCAGCGCTAGACCAGACTCAGATCGACCCCTCTCTTGCAGACGTTACTCCGAAGTTGAGGTTCAGCTGGCGCAAGGATGGGAAGCTGTCTAAGGATTTGACATGTCTGTTGCACGGCAAAACTTCAACAATTTCCGACACCCGTACAAAGAGCCGTGAGCCAGATATTACGGTCGCTTTATTCCAAGGGCTCAAGGAGCTTACTCTCTACGAGCCCAATCTTTATCGCGTCGAGATGGAAGATACCAAGGGTTTGGAGGTCGTATTACTCTTGGCTGCTGTTGCGATTCGAGATATTTTCTTTGGGCCTGCCAAGGAGGCTTTTCATATCACCCCCGGCGGGCCGAACCAAGCTCGCAAGCAAGCCGTAGGGTCAACTGCAACTGCGGCGGTGGCCACACCAGCTGGTGATCCCAGGCGCGATCAGAGGAACTCACAGGCTCGACCTCCTGGCACAGAAATGGGCAGAAAGCCATCGACCCCTCGGCTTAGCATCCCGAACTCCTCATCCCCGGCCCCACAAGAGAGGAGGCGACAGGACGAACTTGCAAGACAGGAAGAGGAGCGACGAACCCAGGAGGTTCTCGCCGCAGAACAAAAAGCACGTCGTCGGCGGGAGGCAGAAGTTGAAAAAGAAACGAAACGCCTGCAGCAGTTATACGGGGAGGAAGAAGAGCAAGCACGAATGCAACGACATACTCCAGCTCCATCTTCCAGGCCCTACCTCCCGCCTCGACACACTGGACCTGGTCAGCCTTACTCCCACCAATACTCTCAATCTTCAGTCCAACTTTCCTCCCAACCTGCAGGTCGTCCATCCCATCATCCCCGTCAACAGAATTCCCACGGAGTTCCCAACAGCCCATACCTCCATGCACCGGGTCGCATGGATCCCCGAGCCCAATCCTCCACACACCTTATGCAGTCGCGACCACAACAGCCACGTCCACAGCCCAGACCACAGTCCACAGTTGGGTTCCACCAACAACCAACCAGCAGTGGTGCTCTCCCAGCAGCATCGAGGCCAACGCCACAAGTCCAACCAAAAAAGAGCAGTTTCTTTGGGTTCCGGCGCAGCAAGGAGGAAAGTACTACCAAGCTTGAAAAAAAGCGGAGTTCTATGGTCTGAACATCTATACCCTGGCGTTTTCTGCTTTTTCTCTGCATCATACTGAGCATTTCGTGGTTACACTTTGCCTTCATGGCCATCTCATTGTATGTAGTTGCACAGCGATTATATTTCTATTGTAGTACGCCTACATGGCATCTCCTATTCCATAAATTCCAGACCTAGTAAAGTGGCGATAGATTCGCTATTTAATCAGCACTCATGCCAAACCCTTGCACGGCTTTGGTGATTTCAGGCGCCTCCTTATCCCCGGCGGCATCGTCTAGTGCAATTTTTAGATCCTCCGTCTCCTTCGCAAGGTTCTTGTTGTCCCTCGCAAGATCGTCGTTGTCGGCCTGCAGTTCTTCTCGCATCTGCAGCAGTCTCTTTGCCGCCCGTAAGTAGGCGTCCTTCTTCTGCACATACTTGACGACCCGTTTGGTTTCTGCCTCCAACTCGGCGTCAAGCCTTTTGGCCTGTACCTCAATAGCTTCCCGCAGTTCGCCTATCTGCGCTTCCTTGGCGGCGAGTTGGCCCTTCAAGGAGTTGATCTCCTGGGTGGCGCTCTCAGCCGCCTCACGCTGCTGGGCCAGCGCGGTCTCCTTCGCCTCAATTGCTGCTGCTGCTTTCTTCAGCTTTCCCTCGTAGTCGACCTTGGGTTCGCCCTCCAAGGAGTTTATTTCATCATTGAGGTAGGTAGGACATCTCTCTAAACAAGCTTTGATTCAGCCAATAGTTCAAATATAAGCAGCGTTGAGGTCCAACTCAAGGAGAGACGTAGGATGAAGTGAGAGAAAGGTCAAGGAAAGCTAAGGAAGAGACGAAGAAGACATGAAATAACGCACCTTGCTCCACTCGATGTCGGTCTCAATGTCCATAATGCTGAAATGTAATGAGATCATGGTCAGAGAGGAAATCTTGATGGAGGGCAGTGAAGAGAGAAAGAAGAAGAAGCGAGGGAAGGGATATAAATACCTTTTGAGATATAGATGGAGGAAGGGAGGATGGGAAGAGAGAAGGACTCAAACGGGGTAGATATATATACCACGGCAGGGGTGGGGGAAGAATCGAGAAAGAGAAGGGAGGGAAGGGATATAAATACAGCTAAACCTCGCCATATATAGAGGGAGGGATCTAAAACGATAGGTAAAGGTTAGAGGATGGTAGGGAATAGGTCGAAAAGAAGAATTCTCAGAAATAGAGGTGAGGGAAGGGGATATAAGATATTTTCAGATGTTGAAGAGAGGAAGGAAGGATTCAAAGAGAGAAGTTGAAGTGAAGGGTGTGTGACGAGGGACGAACCGAGAGTGAGAAAGAAGTGAAAGGTATATTTATATCCGAGGTTAAAATGATAGTATGAAGAAAGAATTGAAGGGCAGAAGAGTGGAGAGTATATCCAATGAAGAAGACTGCGGGCGAAGAGAGGAGTGAGGAGTGAGGAAGAGGAAACAAAAAATCTCGAGAGACATTGAGTAGGTAATGTTCGGAAGGCACAAAAGCACAACCGTGGGAGTGAGTAGAAGAGTAGAGGGAAGGATTGGAAGGAAGAAGTGAGGGAAGGGCCGTATAGTGAGAAAAATGAAAATGAAAGGTGGTGGAAAGAGGTCCTCGTGGGAGGTGAGCTGGAGAGGACGAGTTGAAGGTGATACTCAAAGAGACCCAACTGAGCAGACCTTAAGAGGATGGGGAGCTGTACACATGAACATTCAATGTAAGGTCGTAGGATATATAGAGGACAGGATCAAACTGAGGAAAAAGGAGAAGAGAGCCATCAAGGCAGTTGAGGAAGAAAATATCAGAGGATTCGAGGATTCGAGGATTCGAAGGGGGGGGGTTATACTCTGCGGGAAGTGGTGCGCCTTCCTAAATTGGTGATTATAAATTACTGTAGGCGTTCCTTCCCATTGAGTTTGGGATGGATTGTGGAAGGAACTGTTGGTCTAAAGTTATAATATAGCTATGTATTAACGAAAGTGTGCAATGTGAAGATCTGCCATGGTTGAAAGACAGCTTCAAAGGGCGTTGAGAAAATATAACCGAAACCAATCCCTCCCCTCGAATATCCCGCAACATCCAATGATCAATACGCAAGCATCGAGCATTCAAAGGGTGACAGCGCACGCACTCAAGATCCCAGTTTCCTTGGCCAAAGCAGCGGTAACATGAGCTGGAACTCCTCTGTCAATGCCGAGAATCATCAGAGCCTCCTTCAATAATTGGCCCGTTACAGGTTTTTCAGAGCCATCAGTGGGAAGAGACTTCTTTGGGGATTCATTAATAGCCAGCTTGGTTGACACAGGGGCAACGGCCATGAAATTGATGTTGACACCCTCTTGACCAAGAATGTTACCCACAACACCAATTTTTCCCGGTGAATCATAGTTCTCGCAAATCAACAAAGTCCCCTCTGGCTCAAAAGAAGCCTCAAATCGACCCAGGCGGGTGATCAGTGGCTGGTCTCCGGAGCAGGTGCCAGAAATTATTCGCTGCTGTTGGTCGGGAATAGACCCAGTGACGGTATCGCTGGAGGCTGGTGCACGGGAGGATGCCCGAGAAGGTGGACGTGCAACAAGAGTGACCAGCGATGAATAAGACGAATGGTCTGACGGGTCGCGAGAGTGCTGCTCCGAGACAAAGATGCCACGTTCGCGAGCCACCAGTTCGGCGTTGACAATATTAATATTGAGTCCCTCCATGCTGCTGATAGGAGCAAGAAGACCCTTGATCAAAGCGGCGAAGAGCGGCTTCGTGTTGTTGATACTAGCCAACTCGCCTTGATAGATCAGATCGAACGTGTTCCTGCCCAATGCTCCGCCAGGAGAAGCTGCATAGTGCTGAGTATACAGGCTGCCCAGCTTTTCGACTAGGCGTACAAAGGGCTGTAGCTTTTTGTATTCCTCGGGCAGGATCAGAGGAGCATTGACAGCGCTGCGCGGCAATGACCCTTGCAAGATTTCAAGCACTTGCTCGCACACATCGACAGAAACGTTCTCCTGAGCCTCTACTGTCGAGGCACCAAGATGTGGTGTGACGACTGCTCGTGGGTGAGCGATCAATCGTGCCGCAGATGAACCAGGAGTAGGGGGCTCTGAAGTAAATACATCAATAGCGGCACCGGCAAGATGACCTGATTCCAGTGCCGCGAGCAGTGCATCCTCATCGAATGTGCCTCCCCGAGCTACATTCAATACCCGGGCACCTGGCTTCAGCTGTGCCAGTTCGGCTTCCGCAATCATTCCTCGAGTTGAGGCAATGAGGGGTGTATGGATCGTGAGAAAATCAGCAGATGCGAGCAGCTCCGGGAGCGAGGATACGAGGGCGACCGAAGCCGAAGCTGCAACCGCTGGGGATGCATATGGATCGAGAGCATTCACATTCATGCCTAACCCCTTGGCCAGTCGGGCTACTGTCAATCCCACTAGTATAATGCACGGTCAGATTATGAATCCAAACAAGTCAATTGAGGGATAGTTACCCTTTCCCAAACCAATAATGGACAATGTTTTCCCCTTGACTTCCACGCCGACGAACTTGCTTCGTTCCCACTTCCCATCCTTGAGACTAGCACAGCTCTCGGGGATTTTCCTTGCCATTGACATCATCAATGCAATAGTATGCTCAGCTGCAGCGCCAATATTCCCCGAAGGTGAGTTGACGACAACAATTCCGAGCTTAGTAGCTTCCTCGACATCTATACAACGATTAATAACTCCCCGCTGTACAACAAGATTCAAACATACCAACATTGTCAACCCCAACACCCGCACGCGCTACCACCTTGAGATTCTTTGCAGCTTGCAGCACAGTGGCAGTGACTTTGGTCTCGGAGCGAACGAGAAGGGCATCGTAATCGGGGATTATCTGAAGTAATTCATCGGCACTGAGACCTTTTCGCTCATGGACATCCAGTGAGCTGCGCAGAAGAGCTAGTCCATCTGGCGACAGCTTTTCTGGCACAAGGACCTTGGGACGAGATGTTCTTAGAAGAGGCATGATTCAATTGACTCAATTGAAGGGAAAGAGAAAGACAAAGACGAGTCCAATTTTAAGTCATTGAATTCCAAGCTCCCCGCGGCAGGCGCGCTCTCTCATGTTTGTCCAATCATCCTCTCTATACAACAAGTCCAGGTGTACAGAACGCGGGGTACGACCATCATCATTGGAAGCATCTACAAGGTACTTCCATGATGATGGTACTTTTAGTCTGATTATGCTAAGTCAATCTCATTCGACTTTAACATGTCCACTCTCCCGTCTTCATGTCATGCTTCCGCCCTCTTTCCCCATATTTTGCTGGACATCAATGCCATATGTTGTTTGTTAAAGGGCTAAATTATGCCCCTTTCAGTCATGGCCTTGATTTCATTGGCCTTTCGCTGTGAAGGCGCCGTTTCTAGGAGCGAATGGTCCTCTGGAAGACCAATTGTCCAATGACAGGAGACCGGAATCCTCTTTGTTGACTCCTCGTGGCCAACGAAGAAAGCAGCCTCAATCCCAGAAACATCCATTGCATACCCACAGGTTCATTATGCAACAGCGCGTAGGAAAGCTTCGGATCCCGGATACAAGATATTGGCGAGGCTTGCAAGATAGCACCAGCATTCTAAAGTCTCTCCTGACTGAAATTTCTCACCAAGTTTTCTCAATGTTCATCATTGATGAGAGCTCACAGTAACAGATGTGACGATCATATGACTACCCAGAGGCCTCTTGGGAGGCTGGTTGCGATCTCTCGCAGTATTCTTACCCATCCATTGAGTGACCTAGCAAATGCCCTTATTGTTGGAAGACGACCAGGCGAAGGCTTGTCCGGCGAGTCGGCCATAATGAGTCTAGCGATGTTTGGGAAATATTGCTCTCGTGGTCATGAGGAGAGTGTCTCTTTCCGCTTGCATGATATCGCAATTTATAAATAGGGGGGGGCTACAAAATGTCGGGTATAGTATCCTGGGGACCTCGGGATCTATATTTGCTAACCTTGAGGTAAGCCCCCATAGTTTTGAATAATTTTGAAGAAGAGAATAGGGCTTTTACAAACTGGAAGTTGCATTTGAATCGAAGTTCAAGAAGTAAAATAGGTGAAGATGGATATCTGAAGATCCAAAAGAACCTGAAACGGCTTTTCCCCGCAGAGCCATTTTGAGGCTTGGCAAAATGTCAACGGTAACAACATCCTAGGGCTGACAGCCTCTTAATTCTCCCCTCAAATTAGCTCTACTTCTTTATGAAACTTGACCTACGGAAGATGGGTACATAACTTCGAGCCTTCTGCCCCGTGATGACATCTTCTCGGTCTTGACACCATGGTGGGAGTTCCGCACAGTACAGGCTGTGCCCTGTGTCGCGAGCGACGAATCAAGGTCAATTTCCATTCAAGTAAGATTGAGGCTCTCGGGCTAATAAAGTCCATAGTGCGATGAGGTAGTCCCAGAGTGCAGCCAGTGCCAGAAATATGGTCGCGCCTGTCCGGGTTACAGGCGAACCTTTCGCTTTCAAGATGAAGGCCCCAACCTCGCCCGGCGACATCGCTCCAACACGCGACGGAGGGGGAGAGGCGCATTGGGTCCACCCGCATCGGCTACGTCTTCAACCCCAACTGACCGATCGCCCCCCGCACACGACGACTCCGCTGCGGCCGCAGACGTAGTGCGCGGCAATGCGATTGCCCTCATGCGGCGACACTCGTCCTTGGGTGGCTGGGATGAAAAATTGTCGCCGTCGCTGGTGCGCCAGTCATTCCGTGCCGCACAGCCACAATTATTCCTCGACTTCATCAGCACGTCGTTTCCGACCCTCTATTATCATAATCGGTTCCGGTCTGGCGATGCGCCCGGGTTCGCCGAATACATCGTCATGAATTTTGGCAAAGATTCTTATCTCGACTCTGCAGTTTGCTGCTTGA